AAACGCCCATACACTACCGCAGTGCATGCATAAAGATATATGTGTTTGTATTGCACAGATAGATACGTCGGATTATTGAAGCTTTCAAACCTTGGCCTCTCCGGTCTTAGACCTGGTTGAGCAAAGGAAAGGAACTTGGTTGAGGAAATTGTGTATCTTTTAATACCATGTTGTAACATTAAATTTGCAAAATGGGTGTACGTATGTCTTTTAAAATAACTGAAATAAATTAACTAAATAGTCGACTAATATAAGATGTCAATACAATATTTTACGGTTCTAATTAAAGTATCTTTGTATTGAGTGTATACGAACAGGCGGTTCACGCGATAATAAATAACTACCTCAGCCCATGAACACTTGTAACTTAAGAGTCATAAGTTTTATAAACAATTATTTCAATTTTAATAATATTTTATTTCCATCGACTTTATGACGCGCGCGCATAATTCATACACCACATCGAGTATGCATGTGTGAAGATGCGTTTCCATTGGCCACTACCGTTTTACTAAAACTATGATCTAACCATAAACACAAACTCATTAGATAAGTATTAACATTACTAGTAACTATTAACTTATTTTAATGAGAGAGTTTGACTAAGTGAAGTGAAATGGAAAATCCTCTCAGTAGTCGAAAATAGAAATAAAAAAAACAATAGAGTTGCAATGCCCAATAACATAATTACAGATTAAGCAATGAAATAAAAATTAAAAAAAAATAAGAACATAAATCCGTAGAAGTTACTGCTTTATGATATCAATTACTATTCGGTATAAAAAACGTCCAATAGTACTGTTACGTGGAGTTTCTTGTTTAGTATGTCGGTCAGCGGCGGTGTCGAGCGAGGGAAGCCGTTCTACAATGAGTCACCGGTTGTTTGCGCCACGCGTACCGCGTACAGACCTTCGTACGTTTTTATACATCAACTTATTTTATACGTATATCTTAAGAAAATAAAATAATGGCATGTAGTTCGATACGATGCTGTATATTAATTTGAATGATTGTTTTGACCATTAATCAAATAATTACTTTTTAACTGTGATTATGATGTCAAAAGAGATGAAAGACAGAAGTCTATTACCAATAAACAAAAAAAAAACACGTTTCGATTCTTTTTTTAAAAGGGTAATTACAGAACAGCATGTCTGCGCTAAACATACCGAAGTGAACATTTAGAATAGAAACTACTTAAAGGAATAATTATACAGAGAAATGAATACTTTCACTAAGTTATTTACGCAGTGTTGGTTGGCTGTTTCTCGTACAAGGTTTAAATCCTTAATGCTAGGATTTATATTCAACAATGTTCGCTTATCTTCTTATTAGACCTTAAAAGCCTTGGAGGCCTTTGAGGCCTAATCATCATCATCAACATCCTCTAACAGTTCACTGCTGGACATAGGCCTCTCCTTAGAAAGGAGGTTTTGGCCTACTATACCACGCTGGCCAGACGGGTTGGTATAAGGTTTGTGTCAAGTTTTCCTTCTCTTTGCAGTTTTGTTGACATGCATAGTTTGCTCCCTTAGGCGGCTTTTACGACACCCACGGGGTGGTGACAATCCGTATTCTTAATCCGTCACCACACGGACAGCTGTTGCAGCAGTTTGAGGCCTAATTATTATTACCAATATTAATTATTTTGTGGATCTCCACGAAATAAGCAAAAAGAAAGACCCCTTTATGGTGAAACTGTTATTAATGTAGCCATTTGCAAGCATTCATTTCAGTATAATTATTGTTGCAAAAAAACTCGACCAGGAAAAGGGTTGGCCATAAATACGACTATAGGCTCTCAGTATAGATCGATGGTATAACCTTGTAAAACCATAGTGGGCGACGACGGTACTCAACCAGGAAGTAAGATCACACGAATATACCCAACCAGGAAGTAAATTCACACGAATATACCTTCCCAGAAAAAAAGCAGTGTTGCCAATTCACATCTAAAAACTATAACAACACTGTTGTTTCCTCATAATTCAAACAAGTGGCCTTTTTTTTTGGCCGACAGGCCCAATCTTTTTTGCGACTAGGCCGCCATCCTACCGCCTACCGCAGCAGTTAATCTGCCACCAGAGGTCCTCGACGTCCTCTACGCTCGAGATCGGCCCTCTCCACATCCCGTTCAGCGATAGCAATCGCGATACAAGATTAGAAATTCTCATGCATTTGGATCATCACTATAGATTTACTATTATGACAAGCAGGCACTCTGTCATGACCACGAAATTTTCATCACAAGGAACACAGTCAAAACTCATCCATAGATTCGCTGTCCGTATCTCGTAACCTTGTCTATTTATTGCCATGCGTGGCACCGGCCATATTGATAGTTTCCTGTGCTGCATGCACGATTGACGCCTGGAAAACCACGGCGAATAACGATAAACATTAATTGCACGGAAACTGCATCTTCGTTTTTGCCACTTCGTTTTATGAAAAAATTTTAGACTTACAAGCCATTATAAAAGCCATATTTCTTACTGGAAAATTTTACGGGCTGTAATGTATACCAGTCAAAAGTCAAAGCTAAATTAAATTATATTGTAAATCGCAGCACATCTTTTTTATTTTTCTGATGGTATTATTACTAATCAAATTTTAGTCTTTGATAAACTTTAGTGAAACTTTGGTTTTTAAAGACTTCTATCATAGTGTAACAGACATACCACTTAAACATTCGCACCTAAAACCCTCATATTGGTAAAGTTGAACATTAAATTGATAAATTATTAGCATAGCCTAACTTTTATATCATAGACAAACCAAAATGGTAAAGGCGAGGTAACGGCAATCGGCGCCAGCACCCACACTTGGAATTGGTCACTTGCTACAGAAAAAACTTTATTTAATTCGTTTCTCTAGACACTATTTCTGAGGATTTCTTATTTGGATGTATAATGAACAAGGTGCAAATATTTCATGGTTAGTTAGATGAATATAAACTAAAATGGAACTTAGGATAAAATGGCAGATGAGGATAAATTAATGTATACATACAATATGGCCGAGACTCATCGGATGAAAAAGCCAGGTGACTTTTCCTAATTTTAAGTGGGGTTCGGCGACGCCTAGAGTGAGCCTGAGATAACGCCTGTTTCCATAGAATATATAATTTAGGATAAAAGTTGTGAAATGCTGTACATAGCAAAATTTTATCAGAATTAAAATTAACCTGCCTTAATTGGCAATTATCGTCATTGGTTGCGTTGTAGCGCACCGAACGGCGCGTGCGGCGGTGGTGCCGTATATGGCGGCAAGCAGCAAGGCCGCGCAGTCACCGCCCCAACGCCATCATTGTATTTAAAATAACTCTCCAAAGTAACTATGTTAAGTATTATTTATAAATTTCTGGGTGGACTCAGTACTAATTAAATAAAACTTTTATTTTTAAGATAATAATAATAGATAATAGACTCCTCCATTCTCTTAACAATGTCTCAAAAATTAAAAAAGTACATTTAAATTTATAATATGTACATGCATATTTATTTTATTATATAGGGGGGAAACGAGTGAAAGGGGTACTTGGTGAACAGTGACCATGGCCATCCATGAAATCTTGCTAACCTTGTATCATATGCTCTTCGCAGTAGCCTCCAAAGCAGCAGTACAAACTTTTCTAATAAAGAGTGTACTACTCCTACTCTTTTCTTTTAAACAAAAAGTAAGTGCTTTATGTCACTTTTAATAGCTGACACAACATTATACTAGTTGTTCCCAGTTTCATAAATGTCTGTGTTAGACACCTCTATTTAATATTAGATATAAAAAATGAAATTGTCATTGTTATCAGAGTAGTATAGGACAAGCTGACTAATAGACCTTCTAGAAAACTAAGGAAGCAAACTACGCAGGACAACAGCACTGCAGAGAGAAGAAAACTTGACACAAACTCTATATCAACTCATCTGGCCAGCGTGGTATAGGCCATAACTTCCTTTCTAAGGAGAGGCCTATGTCCAGCAGTGGACTAGTAAAGGCTGTTGATGATGATGAGTTGACTAAATAAATATAATATAACTAATATTAAAACTTAGCATTAAAATTCTTCACGATGAGATTAAGTAGCAAATATAGCAATCACCAGAATCATGAGCTTTTAAACTGTAGGACTATATACATATTCAAATTAAACTTTTGTATCGATATATTTAACTCAACTAGAGATTGGCTGATAAACCTTTTGAATGTTTCATTTATATCAGCAGAACCTAATACCCAGCAGCTACTGGCAGACTATTTTCATCTAGATAGGCACTGCTGGCTTAAATGTAAAATAATGTGTAGGTATATTTTTTTAATCTCAATTCTCTTTTCAAAAGCAATAACATAAAACCTACCAAGTAAAGCATGAATTTGAAAGATTATTTGTGATTGGTCAAAGTTCATTTGAATTATACATTTAGGGCAACCACTAGTCTTTATCCAAATAAACATGAAAACAACCTTAATCCTTAATGTTTCTATTTACATGATTAAATAACACATACACTTTTGTTCAGAATTTCCATTAAAATGTTATGACTAATTGGAGGTAAAAAGTTTTTGTAATATGCTAATAAAAGTAAATATTTAAATAAGGAACCTTAAAATATAAAACTTTAAAAGGAAATTAATTTGAGTCATAGATAACATATTCTAATAGGCGCAGGGGCCATCAATGATTCCTGTTAAGATTAGATACAGTTGTTTAAAAGAAAAGTTATATTTTTCTTGAATATTTTGGTAAAACCCAAAGCTCGTACGATTCACTACAGTGATTATAATATTAGCCTAGGATTAGACACTTTGAACAGCAACACCATATCCGATATTAGTTAACGAACATAATGAGTGGTTTAAACGATAACACCAGGGGATAAAATACTCCTCAAGGGCTTTAAGTAATTCATATTAGATCTTGAATCGTCGACTGCAAGAACGAACACAGAGACTAGCATATCAGCCGATAATGTAAGAGTAGATATTTCAGGTACGTTCCCACTTACCATCTGTTCTTTTTATGTTGATGTTGATTCCAGATTGAATCTTTACTGAACCGTCATCCATTTTAGCACAAATTTAAGCACCACATACACTATAGAACATTATTTCTCAAGGAACCTTTGTTCAAAAATTGTCTAATACATTGAGAAATTACACATAAGAACCGGTGAAAATTACAAAATAAATTTCTACACCCAGATTGACAGTTATATCGAGCTAGCTACACACTTCAGACTGGAACGTTTGAAATTTGTTTCACTACAAGAGTCAAATCAATCACTTTAAAATATTATTTTAGAATACGCGATTGATTTGAAAATTGTATTAATAAAAGTAAATAAAAACGGAAAAAAAACCAGAAATGTTCAAATTATTTCGGTTATAAACGCGAAATTCTAAAATTATCAGTCTGCCAATGCGTCGAAATGAAAATTACATTGCCAGTTGAATAAATAATTTCAATGTAACCGATTGATGACTGGTAACACTGCTGAAAAATATTCGATTAATCTCTATGTAATAAAAAGTTGAAAAAAATTACATGCTTGTACTGTTTCCTAAAATTATGTTAAAGAAGTTTTTTTTCCCATGTTCTGAAAAACAATCGATAACTCTGTAGAAAATTATATTGTACAACTCTAGGAAGACGTCATGTACCATAAAGAAGTACATTGTCAAGTCAATTAACTTGACATAGTCAACGCTGTTCATTCAATCATTGAAATTTTAATTTTTTACTAGTAGCCATCGCTTCCATTATAAATTGGTACAAATTTAAATCAGATAGAGAATGGACAATGAACCAAAACTATCGCATAAAGCTAAAAAGCGTATTAAGGAAGTTAAAAGGAAAGCGAGACCCGGTAAGTAAACGGTATCCAAACCTCTATGAAAATTGGCATACTTTCGGGTGTAAACATTTTTGTCATTAAATCCGTTTCATTAAAGAATTGTTAAGCTAGTAGAGTAGCCTTGAAAAACTTAGTTACATTGCGAGTAACTGCACATATTTTAGTTGTTAAATGAAGGGATTCTAGAATGATCTTTGAAAGCGTGGTAATTAACTTCACGGCATAAGCAGATTGACTCTTGTAAATTAGATATCTAACATTAACACATTAATATTTTTATTTACTATAATCTCAATCAAGTTGCTTCCTTTACGTATCGTATTAATCTTCAGAATATCTAAAAGTTCATATAAAAATAAAGTGACTGCTTCAGAAGTTGCTGCATACTTCCAAAATTATGTTGGATAGGGTTTAATTGTCTGGTTTTCCATCCATCAATCAGCCTATTGACCTAAATCCATTGACCCATAGTCTGCTTACTAGACAGCTTCCAACCTACTGCCCTGACCCTCATCTTCCATATACAAGATACCTTTTTCAGGTGGTCAGTCCAACTATGTTTTTGTTATGTGTAATTGAGCTTTGTTAAGTATATTGTGAAGTTTGAAAATTTATTTTTATTATATATTTTTTTATAAAATATACAATAAAAGTAATTTTATTGTATAATTATAATAATAATAATAATTTACAATTATTAATTAATTCAATCAATGATGTTAAATACACTATATAGTATATAATTATTCTACTGGTTAGTGACCCAAACTGTTAGGCCAGAGGTCGTGGGTTTGACTCCCATCCATTACAAATAATTGTGTGATGAGCACAGTCATTAGTTCGGTGTCTGGGTGTACTATAAGTATGTTTATCAGCAGTCTAGTTACTATAGCTACCATACTAGGCAGAGCCTGTACGGCTCTGCCTAGTTTGGGATCAGGAGGCAGTGTGTGAGATGTGTAAAAATATTATAGTTTTGAAAGATATCAAAGCTGACAATGTTTAATAAAATAATTATTAGGATTAGACTTATTCTGAGCTATTCCACATGATAATGTTGATGAATTGGCCTTTTGTGTGCTACAGTTTTAGTTCTTTTGATATAGTACCAACTAGTTATATATAGAAGACCTGTTCCTTAGCGTTCCATGGATTCACTGTGCAGGTGGTCGGATTCATCGTGTGATAGATGGGATTTGCGACCCTGGTATAGGGAGTACTCCTCAGTGCTCACCTCCACTGTCGGCTGTGTTACCCCCTCTACCTAACCACAGTTGATAGGAGCCTAGCAGTACTGCTTAAAAGAAAAGAGCTTACTGAAGCTCTTGGCAATCCAAGGTTTTTAAGCAGGTTATAGAGAGATTTAGCTGGTATACCCCTTGCACCCACTTCCACTGCACAACACAACGACATAACCATTTTTAGTTATTTCGTTGATTAGGTCAAAGTGCTTGTTTCTTTTTAAAGCATGGTCTTTAGGGATATTCGTTTCCCACGGCACCGTTAGCTCCTAGTACTATACGCATAATTGAAATTGCATAAAGAAATATGTCTGTTCTGGACACAGTGGCACAGAAATCCTCCGGTATTCTGTAATGATTTTCATACGTGTCTACTAGTAATGTCCAGTCACTGGCGGTATTTATAATTGAGTACAGCTTTTGTGAAGTCATTTTTGTTGAGCCTTACTTTAGAAACGCGATGTTGTTCTTATTTTTATTGTAATTTTTTCGCTCCCAGCGATAAACTTATAGCTTCGCGTATGATTTGTAATAATGACTGTGAATAATGACCCCGGTCTAATAGCGCCTTTCAACCTGTTAGTAAGTGCCTGGCTGTACCTATTTTCGCACTGCACATTTTATAAGCCTTTTCTGTAGCTTTTGCCCATCTTACTAGGTTGCTTTGATCGGGGAGAGTCAATTAAAAGGCGTTGAGGTAAAAAAATTATAGGGCAGGTGACCAATCGTATAAAAGTGTGCGCCTTTTTAAAGCTGGTGGGATACAAATTCTCCTAGAGTTAACTCCCAGTCCAACGTCGTGACTCGAGCTCTGATGATTTTTTGTCTTTTGGAAGGGATCTAACGATTACGTCTTGTGATTTTGATAATACATGCATTTCGGTAAGTCTTACGTGTTTGTAAAGTTCCGAAGGTCTTTTTCATTTCATTCCAAAGTTATTCGAGCCCCTGTACAACGTTGACTGGTCTGCAGATATTGCTAGCCCGAGCTACGACTTCAATGTCTTAGTGACTTTCGCGTCCAGTGTTCTTAAGTGGTTCTGGTTTATATCGTATACCAGAAACGGCCAGCTGAGACGTGATGTTAACTAGTTGTCGTAAATCCAAGCTTTTTTATGTTACTGGCTGTAGGTCTACCCAGTCAATGTCTTTTACGAAGTCATCGACTATTGCGTTCATAGATGGAGTACGACCTTTGTGGTCTATCTTTCTTCCAAGGAATTCCCACCACTAGTAATCCCGGGGTCATATGAGATATATCTGGTACCTCGCCGGCCCACACAAAGGCAATAGCATTTGCTAGGTTCTGTCTTCATTCCCTCCGTCCAGGTACAGAAGTCATCCACCTTACGCAGTAGTGCTTGGCACCGTTTCGGTTTACGTGTGAGGATCGTGAGATGGATTCCTTATATTTTCCATAGACCTTAAACCGGTAGCCCCACCTCTTTTCGTATGTTGACATATTATCTATTAATCTATTAATATATTTATAAATGTATTAAATACTACTACAGGTGATAAGCAGCAACCTTGGAACAACCCTAATCTTAATTCGAAGGGTTTTGTATCTCCCTCTGTGATTAGAAATTTTAATTTACTATAGTATGATGCAATTATTTCACAAACTATTGGCGGAAAGTTATACACATGAGCTCGTGTCGTCTGAGCAGAAGGCGTTTTCTAAATCTATCCAACAGACTGTAATTTGCCTTTCATTTGTCCTAACATCTTTGCGACTTTTCGCAAGTAATGAGTTATGTTCCAGACATCCAGAGATTCCGGACCCTTTCTGGTAATTTGGTCTGAAGTAATTATTGTTGGACATAAACTGTATTATTTTTAATTGAAGACAGGAGAAAAATATTTTAGAAATTGTATTGGTAAGAGCCATGGGTCTAGTGTCCCTGGGATCTACTGCTTCACTTTTCTTAGGAATGAGGATAAAATTAGCCTTTCCAAAGGTTGTTGGTATTTCTTTGTTCAAGATCTGGTCGAATCTTGCCGAATATACTTAGAAGGTGTTTACGCACTGATGGTCATTTTTATATACTATATAATATGGTATACCATCAGACCCTGGAGCTGATTTTGAATTTTTCTTTCTAATTTGGGTATCTACTTCTACTAAGACCTAGTTGGATTGTAACCCAATCAAATTTAAAACGAGGGCTTGCTGGGTTTTGTGCACTTGGTTCATGATAGGTCTTCTCCTGTGTTGGCACCTCGTACGTAGTTTTATAGTGTTTGTAGATCTGGTCGGCCGTTAGAAGCAGTTGTCTACGCTTCTCTTTAAAAATATTTCTGGAATATTGGTAAGGGTTTCGATTCGAGGTTGTCAGTTTCGTAAGCAATTTGTACTGATACTCCTTGAATTAACTTTAGTATTGATCGTGAAGCCCTGGCCAGTTGGTGGTTCAGGTGGATATCGCCCATGCCTTTGGCATTCCGTGGTCGTTTGACAAGGTCCTTCTTTCTCTTTCTCAATTTGGTCTTAAGTTTGTTTTCATTTCCTTTTTTAATTATAGCGTGTTGCGGGTAGGTGTGCTCGTGGAAATATGTGTAAATTACTTTTTGGGAAGTTTCGACTTGGCTATTTAGGTCTTGTTTTTCTCTAGGATGTTCTAGGAGATCTGCCAACTTCTGGTTGTGTGGTTTCCAAGTGGTCTCTGTTAGGGAGGGAATGCTAAGACGGGCTCAGATGTTGATGGGCTCATGGTTCGGGTCAGTCTCTGGCCTGCCTTGAGATATGTGAGGGTCAACTCTATCCATAGCAGCAATTCACGAACTTCCAGACATCTGTCTTGCATCAATGATATCGGGTGTTTTCAAATGTCTTAGGACCCAGGCTCTTTTCTTGTACTGTTTCCTGCACGTGGGGCATCTCAAATCCATTATCTCGCCAGGGTTGTCGGTATAATCTTTTCTTTTCTATGTATATTATATAGTTACCCGAGCTAATCCTCCTTTATCATGCCTGTTATAAACAGAATGATTTGCCTGTTAAAATTAATTTACCAAAACAATAAACATTGCAGGGAAAGTTTTTATTTGATAATATTATTACTGTTGTCTTACTATCAGAATTAAATAGGGCCAAATTTAAAAAAAATAATAAGTTTAAAGTTTAACTAACTAACTATTACCAAGTTTTTTTTTTTCTATTTAATTACTAACATTTAGTGCCTAACCATAAACAGCTATTGTGAACTAGCTGACCCGCGCAACTTCGTCTGCGTCTCTCAATAGTAATAAATTTTCTCCGTTTTTGAAACATTCTTCATTGGTGCTCCGCTCCTATTGGTCTTAGCGTGATGATATATAGCCTATAGCCTTCCTCGATAAATGGGCTATCTAACACTGAAAGAATTTTTCAAATCGGACCAGTAGTTCCTGAGATTAGCGCGTTCAAACAAACAAACAAACAAACAAACTCTTCAGCTTTATAATATTAGTATAGATGACAAAACTGACTCGTTAAGTATAATAAATATTTGTTGTATTAATATACCTGTTTACTTATTTTAGAATTAGCAGATAAATACCAATGGACAGCTTTAAAATACTTCAATAACTTTGATGAATTTCTAAAATGTAAAGACAATGTAGACAGAATTAATGAGAATGAAGTATCACAGGAAGAATTTATAGAGAAATATGAGAAAATATACAAACCTGTAGTTGTAACAAATGTCCAGACTAACTGGAAAGCTAATCATAAGTGGACCTCAGATAGGCTAGCGAAAAAGTATAGAAACCAAAAGTTTAAATGTGGCGAAGATAATGAAGGATACAGTGTTAAGATGAAAATGAAGTATTACGTAGAGTACATGAGGACAACGACTGACGACAGTCCACTTTATATTTTTGATAGTAGTTTTGGTGAGCATCTCAGAAGAAAAAAGCTTCTTGAAGATTATGAAGTCCCTACTTATTTTAGGGATGATTTGTTCAAATACTGTGGAGAAGAAAGGAGGCCACCTTACCGTTGGTTTGTTATGGGACCTCAACGTTCTGGTACTGGAATACACATAGATCCTCTTGGCACAAGTGCCTGGAATGCTCTGGTATTTGGTCATAAAAGATGGTGCTTATTCCCTACTCAGACTCCAAGAGAATTGATAAAGGTAACTGGAGCAATGGGTGGCAAACAGAGAGATGAAGCAGTGACATGGTTCAAGCTTATTTATCCTAAGACACAGTTAGATACTTGGCCCAAAGAATTTAAACCGGTTTGTTATTTTTCTGTTATTACTTTTTTCATAAATTAATACAACTTTAAAATGCCTTATGTTGCACTCAAAGAGCAAACAACATCTAACAACGCATTGTCGTTCTGGTTCTTATAAAAACGCTCACGACACATTGTGCCAATCACAAAACAAGACCACACGGCGAAATTCGTGTATGGTTATCATGTTTTACGAACACACCGTGTCAAAACAACAAAATCTGTGATCACTATTTGTACCACGTGAGTGAATTGTACCATGTACAATATCAGTCGTCATATTGTTACATCAACAGTGATCATTGTTACGATTTACGGACTAAAAAAAAAGACGTGGTTTGTTTCGGCGTTTCTTCCCAAAATGAGTCTTAGGACATGCTGGCTGCCTCTAGCTGCGTTACAGCTACTTGTAAAAATATCTGAAAATATTTACTTACAGAAATAAATATAACTTTTCATTTGTACTTTAGTTCGATAATTTTAACCTCCCTAAAAAAAAATAACCTTCCAGTTATAATTGTTCGGTTCCAGTTGAACCATGCAATAAAACATCACTGGAGTTATGTAATCATTGCCTCCTTTTTCTGAAATATAAAGTATAAACAAATTAACGTAAGACATACGAGTACGTTAGAAGCAATTATCAACTTTTCCATTTCATTCATTTTAATCCTTACTTTTCTCTTTTAGGTGGAAATTCTTCAAAAGCCGGGTGAGACTGTATTTGTACCAGGTGGCTGGTGGCACGTTGTCCTTAATTTGGATGACACAGTTGCGGTCACACAAAACTTCTGCAGCCGCACCAACTTTCCGGTAGTATGGCACAAAACGGTGCGCGGCCGACCTAAACTTTCCAAAAAATGGATTAAAACCTTAGAGACCAAAGAACCTGATTTGTACAAGATTGCAAGTAGTATGGACTTAAGCCAGAGTACTGGTGTCGCTTCTGACAGTTCCTCTAATAGTAGCTCTTCTAGTAGTGATAGTGATAGCAGCTCCTCGGACAGCTCAGAAGAAGACAGTGGTCAGGAAAGCATAACTGCACACAAAAAGAAACGGCGGAGAAAAATGTGAAGGACCAAATGCCTTTAATTTTCCTCGGAACTTCACAAATATAAAGTGTAAAAGTGTTATCAAATAGAAAATATCATAAGTGTAAGTTGGTTTTGTATTACTAGACACTAATAAAACAATTTACCTGTTTTCATAGTAAACAATATTATTTTCTTTTGTTAACTGACATTATCAATAAATTATCATTTATCATCATAGTTAATATTTTATTTTAGGGCCTTATAGGGTTCCGTAACAGGACTAGAAACCCCTAATAGTTTTACCATGTCTGTCTGACGGTTCGTTCTCGTCCTAGCTTAGAAACAGTACTACTTGTTTTTATGCCAGAGGGGGCAGATGAGCAGACGTGTCAAAGGGGCAAAAAGTGTTTCGAAAAGCGCACAGTAGTCGAGCGCCAACTATCTTGGTGATGAGGATGAAAATTTTGCCGTGTGGAACGATGGGGGAAAGTTGCAGCAAATTTAGCATGGGCAAATATATAAATCATACCAACAGAGTTAAAAGTTAGAAAAATGAATTCTTTAGGGAACCTCCCATACAAGTCATCATAATCATCAATAGCCTTTAACTGTCCACTGCTGGGCATAGGCCTCTCCTTAGAACGGAGGTTTTGACCTAAAATACCACACTGGCCAGATAGGTTTGTATGGGGGTTTGTGTTCCTTCTCTTTGCAGTGCTGTTGTTCTGGTAATTTGCTTCCTTAGTTGGCTATTACGTTACTCAGGGGATGAATAGGGGTGATGACACTCCGTTTTCTTATCCGTCACCACGCGGACAATAACAACAACAAGTAAAGTGAGAATGATGATGAATGACTTTTAAATACTTAGCTATCTCATAGTGGGGGTATTTTTCGAAACTCCGTATATCGTTACGAATAAAAGTCAAATTTTATGTCAGTACTATGTCATAATGATGTCATTGTATATGAAGACATTAAAGTCATTTTTATGTCCTATCTATGTTAACATTCTAGGATCTATCTGTGACCTATATATGACAGCATATGGAGGTCATGTGTTCACTGTGTATACACCATATTAAAGAGAAGCACCATGGTCCTAATTGAGCTAAGAATATTTGATGCCTACAATATGTATGGCAGAATCAACCAAACGCACGGAAATTCAATCTAGTTGACACAAGATCCTCATAGTGGTAAACGACGGTATGAGGTTCTGGTGGATACCAGATACTGTAAGCTATTCAACATTCTATTAGGTTCATTGTACAAAATACTATATTACCAAAGGATATGATGAACAGACTGTTCACAGTAAGAACCAGGAGCTGAGCATTGACATTATTGTGACTCAACTAATTTAAATGAATGCAGTTTGTTCTTAAAGTTACCACGACCCGTAAGTAATTGTCGGTCACAGTGTACCACTTCAAACCAAAGATGTCAAGATTTTCCTGCCAAAAAAGACTGATAAATTGATTATACTTGTCGGAGCTGTAACAAATACAATGATTGAGCATACAATGTTATATTGTAGAGATTGCGCAGATGGAAAAGACAATACGACTGACTAATGAGATTGAAATAGGTAGTATAGTTTATTATTTCGAGTCCTACCATAAATTTCATTCAAACATATTAGTTATCATTTTAGAAAAAAACTTTGTTTTCACTTCAAGGTAGATGTTGGCTACTTTTTTTATGGAAGAGGAGGCAAACGGGTAAACTGACAGAAAGTAACTACCGCCGCCCATGAATGCCTGCAACTCAGGAGTTTGTGACGCGTTGCCGGCCTTTTAGGAAGGCCAATTACATATTTAGACTGATGATGATGACTGATGCAGTTTAGATTATGGAGGGTAGAGGCAAGGAGAACCATCTTATATGGGGGAAAGTTGAAAAAATGACCAGCTGTATACTGAAAATAAAGGTCGCTGGCTTACGAAAAACTACGATGAACATAGCTGTTGTGGACGAAGTTTGTAGAGTTAAAATGTTGTAATAGTTTTACTAGCTGTAAATTATTACACTTTTATTTCGCAGTTTCGCAGTCTAGTACACACTAAATTATTTTAGCCAATATAAATTTTCATAATGCTCTTCTTTCAAATGTTTGTTTGGCGCTTTCTTACAATTTTCCTTATGCTACTGTAGCGTCTTCAATTTAACGCATTTTGACGTAGACTTTTCAAACGTGTCTCGCCTCTACCTCCATTGTTTAAATATAGATATCAAATAAATATAGTTCCTATTTTATTCTAAATTAGCCCGCCCCGGTTTCGCATGCGATGTAGATACTACTAATGTGTTGTCTGTGTGCAGTAATTAATTATACTATTATTATGATAGGCCTTCACTACAGGACATCTTTAAATGCAATATTTATAGGCCCGTTCCGATCCTGCCGGCTGCTGTCACCCGGGATGGACGTACGGCTCAACGGTCGTTGGGCACCCGCATTTCAAACCTCTAATATCTTCTAAAATATTCATTTTAATAATATGCTGGCAAGAGGAATTTTAATATACATTAAATGCACAACGTATTTAATTGGATAAGGAATAAATGTATTGTTGAAAATAGCCTTGTAAAAAACCTTTTTTTTTTTTTTTTGATATATTTAAAAGATAGTAGATAGTGATAGATTGTTAATGATTACTGTGGCCTATCCTTAGGAGATAGACGTATACCGTCGTGGATTTTTTTTAGATCTGTTTAGGATATACAATTCCGTAGTACATTATTTTGGTATATTTCGTAAGGGTTAGCCAGCGTTTGCAATTTTTTACGACAAATCTTCTAAATTCTCGAATTTTCTCGTTTATAAGTTGTATGTATTATGTATATAAACCTTTTTCTTGAATCACACTATTTGGTGGCGTACAACAAAAAAAAGCGACTTTATTTTATACTATGTAGAGATGACTAAATATCGTGTAGGTATACGAGTAAGTAAAGGCTTTTTTGATTTTATTTTTATTAGAAAAATGAATTGGAAATACTTATTTGTTATTTTATTACATACATACAAATTTAAAAAAAATATCTTTAGTCGACTGCAGTCTACATGGACGATTTAGTTTTATTACTACTCATTGTTTTCTGATGTTAAAATTTACGAAGTATAGGTTACAGTAGTTATAAAATATATTATACATCTATGGCTAAAGGTAAAAACAATGTAGCTATTGGCAGGCATTCACACGTAGTTTTTTTTTCATCTGTTTTGAATCTTAACATCTCAACGGTTCTCCAGATAGAAATCGTTAAAAAAATAAGTACTAGTGTTGGTTTTCGTAACACAAGGTAAGCACCTCACACAAATAATCAAACATTTTATTTTATAATTAATCTGTATAGCGAATTGTTTTACATTTGGTGTCTTCATGGATGAAAACAGTAAATAAAATGATTAACTGTATTGTTTGATAGTTAACACCAGATTGTATTATGTTAGAATATTTGTAAATGCATAATACTTTCATTCACACACAAAAGTAATTTTGAAGTGATGAACATTGATTTTAATTATCACCATCACCAAGTTCATGAACGAAAAGATCTAGTAAAAATGACAAATGTTGTCTATGACTTTTATCCTACTGATTAAAATTAATCGATATATCTGCCTACCTCACTATAACTGTCAAACTCGGAGCTGGCAGTTTTTTGTAGTCTATGACTGAGCAGCAGCCATTTGTTATCCCTTGCGAAAGTTCCCGTGTAACGTCCGATCAAAATGCTGAAATCAGCTTCTGGTGTATTAGCCAATGTCCTGAAAAGGTCCTTGGTGCCTGCTGCTAGGGTCAGTGCAGTCGGATCCGTGCGAAGGGCGCACGGCGGCCCTGTTGAATCCGATGAAGACTTCGATTGCAGGTTAGCGGAAATTTGACGTTATGTAACTGAAAATGGTGATAATTTTGTCAACGAATCGATGTTTTCGGTCGGCATTTAAGTATTTGACAAGGTTTACAATAACCTGGATATTGTTTCAATTTCACTTAGGATACAGTGAAATGTATTTAGTAATAATAACCTGCCAATGTTAAGTTTAATAAAGCTGACCCTAGAGTAGTGTTGATTATGTGATGTCTAAAAGTGTGTGACAAAATGCTTTATATTATTTAATAAAAATACCAATTTATTTAATTTTATCGTTATGAAACCGAATTATCTTTCTTATCTGATCAATTTTATATTATATCTTATATATATCTATATTCTATATATTTTCTATCCGACACTGTGTCTTAGTCTACATAAAATATTATTTATGGTTTTGATTCTGAATTAAAATTCAATTACTATAAATATCAATTACAAAATATGGCCTCAAGCTGCTGTAAGAAGTAGTGGGACTCATGTCATAAATTTGATCAATACTAGTGGCCCATTTACAGGTTACCAAATCATAATTTTGCAAGTGCTTCAATTAATACAGCAATGTACACTTTTAATCAGGTTTTTAGTCAATACAAATCTACTGTTTAAAAGACTGATTTATTGAATAAAGAGCGAATATTATCTATACTTAATAGATTCAGTTTGATTATTGAGTTTGATTATTAAGTTGATTAGGTTGAAGCTTGACATAGCTTATTGTAAACATAAAATTATTTACCACACCTTAAAAGCACTAGTGATATGTTCATCAACAGCCATTAATAGTCCACTGCTGGACATAAGCCTCTCCTTAGAAAGGAGGTTGTGGCCTACTATACCACGCTTGCCAGACAGGTTGGTATAGGGTTTGTGTCAAGTTTTCCTTCTCTCTGCAGTGCTGTTGTTCTGTGTAGTTTTTTCCCTTAGTCGACTCTTACGACACCTACGGGATGAATAGGGGTGGTGACACTCTGTATTCTTAATCTGTCCCCACAGTGATATGTTAAGGTATGATAAAATCATGACAATTTAGGAACGTTTTACAAATCTAATTGAAAATATTTATTTCAAAGTTTGGGTGTTTTCTATGTATAATATGTATTTTACGTATATAAGTATTCTATCAATCACTTTAGCTTTCATAGTACAAGCTCTGCTTAGTTTTAAACTAGACGGCGTTGTCTGTCAGATGTCAAAAAATATTATTATTTATTACAACACAGGAATAGAGAAGAATCCATAAACATTGTTAACATAGCATAAGCAAAGGCCGATTCCTGTATCATAATTATGGTGGTTATGTTATGGTGATCAACTCTGCTACAGAGGCTCCTCTTCAAGCCTTATTGTACTGGATTCTTTTTATATTACCTCTATTTCTATAATTACATTGGCTGACCCAGCAAACGTTGTTTTGCCATATACATTATTTCAAAATAATTGACAAAAAATTTAAAAATTAGGGGTATGAAAAATATATGTTGGCCGATTCACAGACCTACCTGATATGCACATAAAATTTCTCGAAAATCGGTCGAGCCGTTACGAATGAGTTCAACCGCGCACACTGTGACACAAGAATTTTATATATTAGATGGGCTGATTTAAATTTTTGAATTTGTTTGTTGCTTGTAACTAAACATCAAATTAAATACATTCACAAATATAAATAAAACAGTGTCGCGGTATGATAATTTTTCCAGTATTTCTATAGATTTAAATGAATGAAGGATCTATGGCATTTGACAACATATTATTGTCAGTGTGGGTATTAAGATGTTTGTCTCGTAGTCAATTCAGTCTGTTACCTCTCAAGCACTTGGGTGATTCTTTGCTCTTTTTACTTCTCGGTCTATACCTGCCACATAACAATCTTTGAAAATAATAAACCGTAGGTACATATATTTAAATTCTTGTCGTTATGTCATGTCTGTGATTTAAAGACCATTTTAAAACTAAATTACCAATGGTGAATGTAATGTCTGCAGGAGATGAATGACACAGAAAACTAAACAATTAAAAATAATGAATAATTGTTCAAAAAGTTTTTTTTTTTGAACAAACATTCCGTTTTTTTTTTTTTGTGCGAAATGCAACTGCTATACCACTTACCGGTGGCTATGTCGGACTCGAACCGACTAAAACCGCACGCCGTCAGTATTCGGGGAACCAGGTGTACCCTAGAAAGGAAATCCGTGGTGCCCCGACGTACCTCTTGCCATCTACGGCGGGTAAACGACCCCCTGCGTGGCAACCCCCTATGTTCCCACTGGCATCATTGTCCCTTAAATCTATATTTAGAAATATATAAATAAAATAATATATATTTATACCTTTTAAAATAAAAAACTATTAATCACTTCAAGTAAACTACGCATATTTGAATCTTTTTCATTATTTATGGGCTAGTAAATTTAGAGGGCTTCAGTATTCCTGTCATGATCAAAATTATATATAGTGATGGTTCAGTCATCTAAACTGGTCTATAAAATATAAAATGACATTCAAATCCCTTAAAACATGCTAAAACACAGGTGTGTAGTGTTACTCATGAATTTCGTTTATTTTTTCAGATATGAAACCTTCTTTAACAGAAAAGATATCGATGGCTGGGAAATTCGTAAGGCTATGAATGACCTGTGTGGTATGGACCTTGTACCTGACCCAAAAATCATCAAGGCAGCACTCCACGCTTGCAGACGAGTGAACGACTATGCACTTGCAGTCAGATTCATTGAAGCTTGCAAAGACAAGTGTGGCCCTAAAGTGAATGAAATCTACCCTTACATCATTCAGGAAATAAAGCCCACATTAACCGAGCTGGGCATTGAAACACCAGAGGAACTTGGCTATGATAAACCTGAATTAGCATTAGAGAGTGTCTTTGAAATCTAAACTAACGGTTATGAAAATTAAGCTGTAGAGAATTTGTATAATAGTTTTGTTGTCGACTTTTTATTTTACATTCAATTGTGGAAGCAATTACTTCACTTAGAGATATTTCTTTACCAGTAACCTAAAAATCGACATGCTTTGTCTAATGTATATGAGACATTAGAAAAATATGATAATGTTATGAATAAACATGCTTTTCATTTTTAATTCCGCTAGTCAGTTTAATATATCCTTGTCAACTGCGATTACATATTGTACACTTAAAAAAGAATAAAGTGATGCCGGTTTCGAACAATTGTATTTATACCTTGATATATACTTTAATTACATAACTATCTATACAAATAATTAAGCTCAGGATATAGGTATTTTGCTTGAAATAAACCTGAAACCTTAAGTTATCAATATATCTAGATAGAGCATGCAAAAGAGCAAAAATAAATTACTGAAATGAGCCGAGTATTTAATACTAGCTGACCCGCGCAACTTCGTCTGCGTCTCTCAATAGTAATAAATTTTCTCCGTTTTTGAAACATTCTTCATTGGTGCTCCGCTCCTATTGGTCTTAGCGTGATGATATATAGCCTATAGCCTTCCTCGATAAATGGGCTATCTAACACTAAAAGAATTTTTCAAATCGGTCCAGTAGTTCCTGAGATTAGCGCGTTCAAACAAACAAACAAACTCTTCAGCTTTATAATATTAGTATAGATTAGTGTGCGTCCATAAATGATACCAATTGTTGAAAATGTTATTTAAACTAGAGAGAAATATAACAGTGTCGAATCTATTTTTAATCCAGAAAAATACATGGAAAAAACGCAGTATAAATTTGGGTTAAAAATAATTAAATGTATACCTAAACGTCTTGATCAACACGTGACATTTTCTTTTACACGTCACTAAACTGAACGGAGCCTGTACTACGAAAGCTAGATTGAATTAATGAATACTTAGATACTTTTTTTTTGTAAATCCATACATATTATATTAAGAGAACACACAAACTCCGAAAAAAATTTTTGCAGATCGTACAAACATTTTGTCCAACCCAGGAATCGAGCCCGAGACATCTGCACAGCAGTCGCATATGCTGCTACTGCACCAACGCAGTCGACGCCAATCAATGAATTATACTCCCACCAAAAATCACTCAACCCGCCTAAAAATTATTCACTTTAAAATTAAAACTTCAAATAATATCCATTTTTTTTATCGCTTCTGGAATATCACTAATTCACTAAACAGAGATAAGGAGAACTTACTAGTATTACATACGTTTAGTGACCGACCGGAGGGGGGGGGGGGGGTTTCGGCCAAGAAATCTAGTTCGGTTTCATCAAAAATTGGCCAAAACTTACGGCCGCTCTGAAACTCAGTCTTTTTATGATGTATGTATGCGCACAGACGGGTCGAATGGTGGTAATTGACTACCTCCGCCCATAGACACCTGCAATTGAAGAGTCACTAGTGCGATGCTGCCTTTTTAGTCCGTCCATCCCAGAATCAGGGGAACAGGGAGGGTTTGGGGTCCGGTAGCCTCTCACTCGGTGAAAGCAACGAAAAATTTACTTAACACCGGTTTTCTGTGAGACCGTGGTATCACTCCGGTCGAGCCTGTCCCAAATGTGCTGAATCATTGCTCTCCCACGATCAACTCATCTTGTTGTATAACGCATAAATAATTATGTGAGTATTGATTTTGGTTTTACTTTTACCAAACGTTGTTTTATCTCAAACGCGATTATTAGATATAGAGCTTCGTTTTGTTGTTTAATTTATATATCAGTAAATAATCATAAAACAGATAATGTGCGATTCATATATTACTTAGGACCTTTCAAAACCTAGAAGCTAGAAGCCCCGGCCCATACACCGTATAGGCGTAGTTCAATTTTGATAGTAACAACGACTCAACAAGTCGCAATCGCAAGCTCTCGGACGTACAAAGTACAAAATGCGCAACCTATAAAAACAATTTCGGACTAAGTCAGCAACATGCTTTTCGAACCTCAAATTACAATAATTATAACCCAAGATTACGCGCCCCATTTACCCTTTCAATTGACTATCCCATAAGGGTTATGTTAAAATTATGCAGTGAGTTTAGATTACTTTTAAGAATCAATGAATTTCTCTCCGTCGAATGCACGATTCTGTTCAGATCATCCTTTAAGTCAGACATAGCTCTATCATAATCACTTAACTTAAAAGAAAATATATAAACTTGAATGTCATCAGCATATATATGACTAGCTGACCCGCGCAACTTCGTCTGCGTCTCTCAATAGTAATAAATTTTCTCCGTTTTTGAAACATTCTTCATTGGTGCTCCGCTCCTATTGGTCTTAGCGTGATGATATATAGCCTATAGCCTTCCTCGATAAATGGGCTATCTAACACTGAAAGAATTTTTCAAATCGGACCAGTAGTTCCTGAGATTAGCGCGTTCAAACAAACAAACAAACTCTTCAGCTTTATAATATTAGTATAGATATCGTGAATTAATCAAACATTTTGTTATAACGATGTTATAAAGAGAATAGGTCCCAATATTGATCCCTGAGGAACTCCTCTTGTAAAAGGGGTGAGTTTAGAATACACTGATGACCCCATTAAGATGCAGTTCCACACTTTGACATCGACCTGACAGATAGCTATGGAACCATTTAACTGTATTACTGTCGAACCCGTAGTATTTATGCTTTGACAGCAACAAACAAGTATTAATGCTATGGAAAGCCCGGGAAAAATTCAATAAAACAAGCAATGTACACATACCCATAATTTGAAATTATTTAATACGATTTTTTGAGGAAATCTTTTTTTTTTATATCACTACTGATGAGCCACTGCCATTCCATCGCCACTGTAAAGACACTGAGTTAGTATAGACTACCGATATTTATACCGATACCAATGGCCACTCGATGGTATCTCAATAGCGTGTCAGAGGCCCAGGGCCTCAATTCTGCTATTTTATGTTAATGCCAAGCCAATGTCATTCCATTGACACACTACTGAGATGGCATTGAGAGGCCACGGACATCGGTCAAAATATCGGTATTCTACTAACATGAATTCATAGTGTCAATAGACTGTCGATATAGTAATATAGGTCATCAATGGTGATATCAACAACATTGCCATTTCATGAAAATTAAATATATCATTTTCTTACAAATTTAAAATGTTACCGAACTATTAAAAAGACATCGATGACATTTATAAAAGTGTCAAGTCATTGGGAGGCCATTGGTCTTACACAGTTAGTAAATTAAGAAAAGTGCAAAACTATTCCGACGATATTCTATCGACAGTCTATAGACAATATTAAAATAGCAGAATTGAGGCCCTGGTCTTATGCTGCTAAGATGTTATCAGTCACGTCAAGTAAGGCAGTAGCGGTCCCTCGACCTTTTCTACACCCGGACTGATCCTCTGGTAACAAAGTTTTCCTCTAAATACTCAGACAACTGAGCGCAGACCACCTTATCTACAACTTTTGACAAACACGGCAGTATACTTATAGGCCTTAAGTATTTTATATCAACCGAGCTCGTGGTTTTAGGCAGTAGCCTGACAGTAGCGGTTTTCCAGATATCGGGGAAGGGTGCCATCTTTATGGAGGTATTCACCAAATTTGTGAAAGCGGGCAATGTATACGGAAGAGATAGCATCAGTATCTCCAAATTAATACCGTCGCGACCCTCCGCATTCGATTTAAGGGCTGAGAGGTTTAGAAATGACTTCCTGGCTAACAGCTGAAAGAACGAAGACGCCCTCTCTATGACTATGAAATTCAAACCACCAGGGTTACCAGGGACGTTAGGGAGGGGACGATTAATTAAATCGGGGTCAGAGAAATGAGATGGGAGATGGTTGCGCCGTAGCAAAACGTTTATTTAGAGTGACGATTATTTACGATAAGCGTACCGTAGCGCCGTGACAGATATGCTGCAATCTTGCTTGCATATTGCTGGCTTTATTATTATAGTAAGAAATACAAAATTATAGATAAATAGTCTTTCGATTATTATAGATATGAAATGTATGCCAAAAGATGATTCTCACTGTTAACTGCTTGTGATATGATAGCTCTGCCTTTAATGACTATCGATATGAAATTTTTGCTCAGACGATTCCGACTATGAACGCGATATTATAGTTCTATCAGTTTTCGTTTACTACCCCTGGGAAGCCATTTCCACCCCAAGGGGTCGATATCGACCTCGGTCTAGAGTCTAGAGTATCGAAGAGCCGAATTGGAGGGGGAATCATTGATAAGTAGATTACATTTTTTTGGTTTGTGAGATGTGTGAAGTAATTATTATTTGCCTACCTATCAAGTTCATAACATGGGGCAATAAGAACTGGACGTTTGGCGCTGGTGGGGCGAGAAGGCAGAACGATTGGATTCCCTTACTTCTGCAGTGTTGTTGCAAACCTGTTACTAATTAAAACACACAAATTTACGTAAATACTTTAATGATTGCCATTTCACACAGTCATACCATTATTTACAATCACAAATTGTACTTAACAACAAAGTTGTGCTTTTCATACTATCATAAAAGACGAAACAAAACTTCTTTGGTAAAATAAACAAAAATAAAATATTAACAAAATCAAACAAATAATACTTTTCGATTTCTGTCTTTTAATAAAGTTCTTACTTTCAATAAATACACAAGTGATAATAACTCTCAACTTTTGTACTTTCTATGAATTCTACCTTAGCCCCGACTAATTTCTTATAATTTAACGTGAATTATATTTATTGAAGGAGCCTACCATTGCCGCAGGCTCGTTGTTGCTGAAAACTCCAATGTTTTACGTCGGACAATATTTACTATACAACGTACTACTTCAGTTACGTACAGACATCACGAAGTTAAAATAAGTCTATACATTTATTAGATTTCAAACACCAATAAACACTATCTGGCCTACTTATGAAGTAACCCTGCGCAGGAATTATAATATTCATCTGTCAACGAATTTACATTACAGTAGACTATTTATTAAATTACAATTATTTTACAAAACTTACAAATTACGAAGGGTTTGCTACATTTCTTAAACATACATCACTGGGACTAGAATAGGTTTCTTTGACTCGGTTTAGACTAGAATAATAAATAGGCAGGTATAACAAAGGTAAGAGATAAACTAAACATAAACAACAAAGTGTACACAACAAACTCACACCTATAACTTAGAGGAATGTTTCACGATTATTACCTATTACACAGATTTATTACATGCCCCGGTGCTGCGCCTTCCATCACACACGTACCCTTGCGACAGCACAGGGTACCCTCTATACAAAATAAACGCAACTGGTATTATATTGCACAAATCTGTTCCCACTTATCGTAGACTTGTTTCTAAAATAAATTAGTCTTATATTTTATATCAATAAATTATTAAGTTATATCGCAATAATTCAATTAATTTATATCCCATTTAATGGCAAAATTTTAGCCTATTTATAATGGTAAATTTATTTCCTAAGTTTATAATCACCGGCAATGCTTGGTTGTATACGGTCAACATGCCATCAGCGCGTGACGTCATGCCACGTATCGCGTCTGCGAGCGCTTTAATCACTTCCCCGTCCCGTCCTTCATTTCTGTTATTTCATTTTAATATTGATAAAAATAATATTAAGGAAAAATAATCTGAAGCAAAGAAATAACAAATACAAAGGACTAAGTTGATATCGTCATTGTCAAGGATTGTCACAGTTTACCACCTATGGCGGTAGACATTAATTTATTTACTAAAGAAAAGTCAGTGTTAGAACTATGTGTGGTGTGCAGGACATGCAACAACATAGATCATTACCAACATCCACGTACAGACTTTATCCAGCCCTTATCGGTTTAAATATAACAATATATTTCCATGATATCATTATCGTCTTCTTTGCCTATTATGTGGATACTACAGAGATGCAAACAACTGTAAGTCATCTACATCATGACCATCGCAGTGCTGTCTCGACCAACTCTATCTCGATAATCTCTGTTTGTCGTCAATCCTTACTCAGAAATAATATAACAATTAGACTGTAAGCACTAATCATTTGCAGATGAAATATCACAATTGGAATAAATAGTGATTTTGAATAGGGCAATAATAATCCCATTTTCCAGAGAGATATTAAAAACATCTATTGCACTTTTCCAAGTAAGGATCAAATCAAAGTTAAATGGCCAGAATCAAAATTGTGTTACGTAATTTTACTATATCTATAATAATATAATAAAGCTGAGGTCTACGGTTGAACACATTGAAAATAATTTTAATCATTTGATAGCACAATTCTTAAGGAAGGTTATACGCTAATTAATATAAAGCTACGACCTATAGGAACGTAGCAGTGACTACAAACGCAGGTGAAGCTTCTTAAAACAGCGAGTCTATACTATCTTTATATAATTTTTTTTGCATTTGTATAACATGATTTTCAGAGAATTTCAAGACAGGGCCGGGCCGGAGAGAGCACTTGGCTATGAATAATCCTGTGTCTGCGTGGGTGACATTATAGTCACTCAGTTTTTATGTAGTGAGTGTGATGAGATTACTGGGGGTTATTTGGGGAGTGATTCCCGCAGGGTCCTCTCGTCGAGCAGCGGCGGCGAGTCGGTCTGCGTGCGTGGCGACGAGTTGGCCACGAATGTTAGCAGCTAGGAGTCTGTAACGACCGCTTCGCGCTCTGTTTTTACTTGTTGCTGTGCCTGGAATAATATATTGATATTAATACAACGGTCTATCTGTATTGGGTCGGCTTGATAACAAATTATCTATTACGGTAACATAAGTATCATAAGTATGTATCAATATGGTTTTGTTAACTACGTCGTTATCAGCTATTTCGTGTTAGAAATTTGTTGAAAGGGAATTAATTTAATCTGTAAGTGATAATCTCTAGTGATTTCTAAATTGTAACGCTGCTTTAAAATCCTTTACAAGTGATAATTGTAATCTTTATAACATAAATTACTTCTAATTTTAATAAAACAGCGATTAATTACGACAATATGCACAGTTTTAATACTTTTCAAAAATTGGAAGAAATTAACTCGGATATTGCAACTTAGTGTCATCTAAGTGCACTTGCGACTAACCCGGATAAGCGTTGCGTGACCTAACTTATTTTGAAACTAAAAAAAATATCTATAAAAAATAAGGCTGACTAAAATAAATTCGAACACAATAAAGTATTAAAATAAAGATTATAAGAGATCAAATATCGGGCTTTATTTGTTAACACGCAATTATTAAAAATAAATTTATAACGAACCATTGCTTTAAGTACGGTAGCATCCTTCAGACTGAGCACCTGCAACACCTGGGTCTCGCCTCCGCTTTGCAGCATCACTTGCGCCACTCCACCACCCATCGAGATCGTTTCTAAACCTTCGCCGTTCTGATCAACCTGATAGGCGAGAAATTTGAAGCATTTTGTTTAAGCGAGTTCTCTAATAAAAATATAGTAAGTGTATTATTATTGTATATTTTGGATAGGACAAGGAAAAGATTGACAACAATAAGAGAGAAAAGAGAGAGAGAGAGAGAATAGAGAGTAGGTAACATGACTTAGAGACTGGAATAAGTGGTTCTAGTTACAGAATAGAAATATTACTTAAAATACAAGCAAGTAAATAATGGGAAAACGGAATAAAAACTGTGCAAATAAAACTGTAAACGATACACACCTCACGGACACGGGACCATGCGGACACACAGTGCGACTACACAAGCTGTAATTAGCGCAAATGAAACTACACAACATATCCTCATGTATTTAATGGCCTCGACACATGCCGAACAATATAAAAACTCATTTCAAACCTAATACAAAAGGATCATACATCAAAAACTGGACATAATTTATTTACTGTCATCTTGTCATCGAAAGCATTTAAATTGCTTTAAAGATTAGGTGGTATCCGAGTCGAGTGCTGAGCCGATTATTCGCCGAAAAGAAGTAACGTGTATGGTGTAGATATTGGGCCACAGGTGTATATAGATAAAAAAAAAACCCTAGTATATATACATGCTCACTAAGTTGTGATCTTGTATCATCACTGGCATATTGGCATCTGATTAAATGATTTAAGCATCGTCTTGGGTGTGTCGACACTATTGCTGGTGACTATACAGACCAGTGATTGCCAAACTATTTTAGACAAGAGACCCCTTTTCTAAAATGAACTAATACCTCGGACCTGTATAGCCAAATTACTGCACGCTTATTGAGTTATTTGAGTTTTTTTTTAAGTAAAACAATGATACTACCTAAAATATTGGTCATTTTTATAGCAAGTTGGTACACGTAATACAACTAATACAGTATCTTGAAAGTTTCAAATAAGAACTTGTGTTAATTAATGGGGATCGATTTTAAAACCTTGTTGAGGCCCAAAATCCCGTTTATGTAGACCCCTTCGAAAACGGACCACTTTGGGAATCCCTGGTATAGACCAATATTTATTTGATGAATCTGATATGATATATTCGGCGAATGCCGATGTCCTATGTACTCGGCATTCGGCGAATCCATTCATTAAGATAAGTCCCTTTAAATATATACCCGTATGATTTGACCTATAAGTAGCTAGCAAGGTGTATGTTCGTAAACGTCATCATCATCAACAGCCTTTAATAGTCCACTGCTGAACATAGGCATCTCCTCAGAAAGGAGGTTTTGGCCTACTATACCACGCTGGCCAGACGGGTTGGTATAGAGTTTTCCTTCTTTTTGCAGAGCTGTTGTCCTGCGTTGTTTTGCGCCCTTAGTCGGCTCTTACGACACCCTCGGGATGAATAGCTCTTAGGACGTCGCGGCGCGCGGATGACCTATGACCCGTTACTGTCGCGCCCTTGAACAGCTGAGCGAAGTCATTATTACCTCAATATCTACGTTATTTTATAATCATATTCAATGAAATAAACATATTTGGAATCCCTGATATATATTCTTCTAAATGTTGTGACAGAGACGCTACCGCGTAAAAATTTGGTGTCACAACTGTTGTGACGGCGACGCGTCGGAGGTTAAGGGTGGTGACATTCCGTATTCAAAACGTATATCATAGAAAATGATTCCTTTTGTATTAGGTTCGAATACGTAACAGCACACAGCACAAACAAAACATAATCCGATAAAAAAAAACAATAGGTACAATCATTTTGAAGCTCACACAATGTGCCTTACAATGTGTAGAATTGGATGCTGCTTTCTTTAGCGCGCGATAAAAATATAAAAAAAACTTATATTTCAGTAACAAATATCAAATTATGACGTTATAACTTACTATTCCTAATTTATTACCTTTTAACATATAGTTAATTATATGGGACTATAAAATAATATTAAAACACTAAATAGAATTTAAAAAAAGTTATTTTAAACTATTACAATGTAGTTTTCTTTTCTGTAAAAATTACAATTTGGTGAAATTTATAAGTATAGGCAATTATTTTTGTAAATGACCCGGAACATCACTTTGGCACCAGAAACATTTATGTTTGTGACCAATTCAGTATCATAATCTTAATAAATAAAACAAAGATTGGTTATTTATACCATTTATAACTGGGGAACGGCTGGACCGATTCTAACGATGTTTTATTTCTTAGATTTATCTCTACCCAGAAAAGCAGAATAACTATTAAAAATTTTTTTAGAAAATTAATTTTATCATGCGTGAAGAGCAGAGCTGTGACTAAAAACGCAGGTGAAACCGCGGGGAACTACTAGGATATGAACCATGCAGTAACCAAAATCTACACATTCTCAGGCACAACACAAAAACAAAATATGAACTAGAGTCAAGCGATAAAAATATGCGTGTAAACACTCGACTACGTGACGTCATCTTTGGTAAATTTTAATATAGTTATTATGGCAGACATATGGCGTTACAGAAATTAACAATAAAAAAAATATATTACTCCTTTTCTTACAATAAATATTTGGACAGTCGCTATTTACATTTATAAAAATCTTTTAGAAATTAACATAAGTTATAATATATAGTTTAAATTATAAACAAAACACGTCATGCACAACACAAAAATAATTATTCCTTAATTATGTAAAATGTAGGTAGCAAACAAGGTAATGTGCATTTTGTTGACAGCACAGTATGGAGATTTCTAAGGAGATTCTTTGGCATCATGGACGTTCAAATAGTTTAACGACAAGTTGGTCCTTATTAACAGCGATTGTGTGTGTCGTGGTGATACCATAGAATTGATTACTTCATTATGTAGTCGATTATTGTGGAACCGAAAGCACGACTGGTTCATGACATGGCCAAACAGTATTGATAATTAAAATTGTGTGGCTCCATTTAAAAAATATTTCCCATTTACACAGATAACATGTATTACTCAGGCATTCTAGCTCTGTATATATCAGTAGCTCAGTTCTAGCTTACTAGCACAACGCGACGGCGTCAGTCTTTGTTTCATGAGCGGGTAAGACTAAAGAAAAACGGGTGTAATAGATGTTGCGTAGACGGCTGACGAGAATAATCGGTGAACTCATGCTAATGTCGTTTCGATCTAATTGAGATGTCAAGGAAAAATGTACATTATTTCTATAGTCGCAAAGTTTAACTTTACTTATGTATTACTTGAGAATAAATTTGCGTTTGCTTTATTATAAAAAGGAATAAGTGGAGACCGCGTCTAGGCAAACGCAGTGTAGGACGCCCACAGGCCAGGTGGAGTGACGATTTGCGCAAGATGGCTGGCAGGAGCTGGATGCGAGAAGCCCAAAATCGATCTAAGTGGCGTGCAATGGGAGAGGCCTATGTCCAGCAGTGGACTGCGATAGGCTGATGATGAATAAGCCACTTGTTAAACTTCTAACCTAGCCAAATATAAAAGAAAATCATTTTAATATGAATCATTGCTAATTTATAACCTAATAAGCTAAAAAAATCTAAAAGGGATTTAAGCTAGATGATATTTATCTTAGAGCGAAATTATATGCTTTTCAGCTCAATAAAACAGTTACAATGTCCACTGTTACTATGGTGTTACTATTGTTACGCATCATGACGGCCAAAAATTAATTAATTTTAAGAGCGCTAATAAAGGGAAAGTGTAAATGTTGTTAAGATACGATTTACAAGTGTCTTTCTTAAATTTCTTTAAAAAAATGTATAACATTCGAGACCTAATGGAATTGCGACATCATTAAAAGTTGAAGTTTTTCCATAACATATGGGGCGAGTAGGTTTGATACCTGATAGTTATTAATAACCATGAAGTGATCGTGACTACATCATGAAGTGATCCATCACGAAGTGATCCATTTTATGGCCTACAAGTGGCTACATCATGAAGTGATCCATTTTATGGCCTACAAGTGGCTACATCATGAAGTGATCCATTTTATGACCTGAAGGTCAATTCTCGTAATAAAAGTTAGGTCACAATTCAGTTCCGATCATCTTTCAATCCCACAACCGTTATAAAAGGTATTTTCGTAGTAAAATTACTAAGACTAGCAGATTACCGATTCAATTTGCGATATAATCACATTATAATCAACGATAGGTGTTTAATACTTTATTATGAAAATACCTTTTATGATAGTTGTGAGATTGAAAGTTGATCAGAACTGAAATGAGACCGAACTTTTATTACAAAAATTGCTCTTCTGGCCACAACATAGGTATATAAACAAAATACAATACAACATTCTGTCCGGTCTAACCGGGATTCACAGCTAAATATACTGGTGGTTTACCGATATATTCTTTTATTTGTTGTAACATTTATACACAATCGATAATATTAGTTATGTTCGTGCATCTATTTTAATAATGTATGTGTTATTTTATCTATTTCATATTTGAAATAATTGTATTTTTGTTATTGAAGACTAATAAATGAGTGGGGTTGCAATTCTGTTCACTCTTTTCGCCAATTCAATCCTATACATTCATAGGTAGTAAGAGATTTCACAGTAATGTTTATATACCTTGTCTCAGAAGGACTAAAGCGACATTCATAAATAATTTACACACAAACAAATTATACATAGTGACTAAAAAGATGTACGACATTCAATTAATTTCTACTTATTTACACAAAACAACTCAACAGAACAATGGCAGTATATCAATATATGTAATTAATGATATGACAATGCGTTAAAATGCAAAAATAATAATACTAAGCGGTGGTTTTATTGTCTATTTAAAAGCTTTATGGCATTTTTTATTTCTGTTGTATGAAACTTTTTCGTAAAGCGGTTGGTTCTCAAACCAATTGTTCTTGTATTTTTTTTATTGAACTGAATGACAAACTTAAAATTTTGAAATTAAATCTGAAATTAACTTTTTTTATTCATACTTGTATAAATAAAAAAAGTTAGTATTTCAGAAAGTCATTGCACACAAAAGTCGATTTGTTTTTTAATTTATTTAAATTAAGTTTAGTATTAAAACGTATCTGAAAACTATAGAGGCAATACTTTATATTTTGGTAAAATCGATGCATATTTAGCACTAACCTAATTAAAATGGTAACTAAATATAATTGCAGCGTTTAATTTAAAAGTTATACTTTTAAATTAATGACATTATAACAAAATAATTATCCTAATTGGACTAAATTTTTACATCATAACTAGGCAGCATTCGGCTATTCTTACAGAATACTACAACTAAATTGACTTTATAAATTTCATAGCTCTTTTTGCAAGTCTTAGTCGTCGCTATTCTCAGCAGTAATTATACTTTTTAAGCACTCACTGGCAGATATCTTATAATAAATATGCTAATTAAATATCACAATCATTTCATTGGCGAGGTTAACAACAAGAATGAATGGCACGCGTTTGGAACTTTAATGTACTTAATATTTTATGCCCGATTAATACTTGTTAAGTACGAATACGTTTTTAGTGTGACAGGATGTCCTAGTAGTGCCAGCACTTGAATCTTTAGGAGAAATATTTTATTTAACCTCTCAAAGGCTGACGTGCCTCAATAATGGATGGATGACCATACCGCACGCTATCAAGGCGCGATTGGAGAGTGAAGGAAAGATTACTGACTATATTTTCAGATAAATGTTTGACCCGTCATATACCAAGCGATTTTATTTGATTTAAGGGTAACCAACGTACCTTGGTACAATATATTTTATTACTAAAATTGCACCCTCTGAATTATAGCAGAAAAGAAGGACGTATTAGCATCTTCTCTGAGTGAGTTCATGAAGGCAGCATTACTAGTTATAATATAATATTCTACCACATCCACACAACGCCATCTAGTCTCAACTAAGTAGAACTTGGTACTAGACAACTGATGTACAGGCTGTAATGGACATCGTAACGAATACTGAAATAGTGAAGTAGTGTGTGTCCCTTACACCCTGTATATACATATATATACTCTTTTTTCATAAAAACATACATATTATACATACACTATCGCATTAGGTTAATCTGTCATCGTAGTTTTAAATAAATAAACTAAAGTAATTAATATTTGAACATATAAATTACTATTTTAATGCTGGCTCATTCTACTTAATTAGAAGCTCAGCAAAGTACTTTGGCTGTTATTAATTACCACACGATGTAAGAATAATAACCCTGTATAAAGGCTTATACTGAGTAGCGTTTGTAATATCCTGTGAACTGAGTAGATATATAGCCTGTATCTTTTTAGGGGTAGGCAGATGACTGTCAAACATTTCTGTTAAAAATAATTTGGTCAGATTTGTTCTAATAGGAGTGAAGTGAATCTTGTTTATTATTTATCATAAAATAGCACGACTATCTAAAACTTTTTAGGTATACTCTTTTACATTTAGTATTCGTACTTAATTGAATATAATATGGGGCATAATATTTTTCTCTAAATTGACTTTAAACATGTTATTTCTAAAAGCGTAGCATCCACTATATTAGGTTTTATACCAAACGGTCGGCTACTAGATTCAGTTTCTGAATTTTTAAGTTAAACTTTGTCTCTGTGTATATTATACTTAGTTTAATTTTTGTACGTAAATAATATAAATTTTTAATATTTAAAAACGATAGGGTAGTAAACGAAACGTAACAACAACACAAGCGAGTAAAGCTAGCTCAAATAAATAACGGGTAGCGATATATCGACTCGGGCAATACTGTACTTTAGCGTTTCGGCGACAAGCAATTTCGTCTAATCGTTTGTTTCAAACATGCATCTCGCCCTTTCCCACGAGTAGCGGCGGTGGGGGTGGGGGGTATGTGCCAGGCGCGGGCGGGGCGGGGGGGGCGGCGCACCTGCACGAGCGGCGCCACGCACACGCCGGAGCCGTCCTGCTGCTGCATGGACGCCACCATGGACTGGTACACCGACGCAGACACCGGCACCGTGATCACGCCCGACACCGGGTACCCTGCGCACACACACACACACACACACGCTCACTAAACCGGTCACAGAACGTTCCTTTCGTTCACTACAGACATTTTAAATTACTGTAATGAGCGAAACGAACGGTTAGTTACGTTCATATTATATTGAACTCCAGATTCTAACATAATATAATTAATTTTATGTTAATTAATATATTTACAATAACTTTTCGTACTTCCCACACAATTCTCTAATCCCCAAAATTAACAAAACTTGCACTCTAGTAACTAAAACTAGGTTGAGATCGGCATTAAGTCTACTAAGATACGGCTAGACTGTCATCAGAACTCCACAACCCTAAATACTAGACGGAATTGATGTTCTGTAGAAAGACTATTGTCAAACTTTATAGACCTCCGACTACTCGTAACGATTGTCAGATGTTCATATGGCCATTGAAAACGACAGCAATGTGTCAAGAATGGTCACCCATCCACAAACTGACCTGACTAAACTTGCTTAACTTTGCCATGTGTAAACCTACCACTTCACTACGAGTTCTAGCCATCACTAGACTGTTGTCTAAAATAAGAATACCTATATTTCTAACACCCCAACACGATAAAAATGATCGCACATACCACACAATTATATGTACTAGGTGAGGATTGAACCCACGACATCTGATTTGGCAGTCAGAATCACTAACTATTAGACGAACAGACCAACTGTACAGGATAACACATACAGGTGTCCCAAATATTAACGTCAAGCCGATAATGGATGATAGAACAAATCGTAACAGGTTTCATAAAAATACTTTGGTATGACCAAAGTATTTTTACGAAACCTGTTGCTTTTAACATTATAAACATAAAAAAGTATAAAAAACTAACACCATGTATCCCGTGACTACTAATATATTTATTTTTATTAATTAACCCATAAATAACTCTATAAATTACGTATCAAAACTAAAGCATAAATGCTTCAGTTTCAAAGTAAATGTTAGTGTTATACCTAGCATTGAATAACAATAATTGTATCTACCAATTTTAACTTAGGTACTGGAAAAAATGTACCAAAATGTTTTGACAAGTGACTTTAGTCAGTATTCCAAATAAGTGCAGGACACTTGCTTTATCATTAGTCCACAAATTTCGCGACTTCGAACGAGCGCGGAAGCCTCGATATCATCGTGAGGCTGCTGCGCGCGGCTAGCCCGACCCATTTGTTTGTTCATTCAGTTCAGTTTAGACAAAAAAAATAAATAAACGAAGACAATATTGCATCTAGAAAGATCATCCGTGTGTCAGTTTTCGAGATTTTTTATGCTTATAATTTTAAAAGTACATGAACAAGTTTTATTTAAAAAAAAATATGATAACTTGGCCTGACTTGAATTTTGGACTAAGTTTTTCAGTTCCTTTTTGGCTTTACTTACGAGTAAAATAAGTAAAAATAATTGGATACCAAAACTAAATCTGAGAGAACTGACCGTGTCCGTCCTCCCCAGTGAGTATGAGTTGTCCTTCATGGTTGAGCGTGGCCTCTGCCACCGCGTTGAGATCCACCGCGACTGTGTTCTCGCCGTCCATGGTCTGTACCACTCCACCTTCGCCGCTGTGGATCTAAAACATATACAAGTTTTTTTAGATTAATGTGTAAACAAAATTGTTAGTACATAAAAATCTTTTTTACCCGACTGCGCAAGAAGTGTGTGTATTTCTTTGGCACGCTCTGTAGTCTAAGCGACTTAACTATATTAAGAGGTTAGTTAGATTAGTCTTAAATGCTAGTCACAATGAGTGTATAAAAATTATAAAAACTAAATTAATCAATCCGTGTGGTGACGGATTAAGAATACGGAATGTCACCACCCCTATTCATCCCGTGGGTGTCGTAAGAGCCGACTAAGGGCGCAAACTGTACAGGACAACAGCACTGCAAAAAGAAAAGGAAAACTTAAAACAAACCCTATACCAACCCGTCTGGCCAGCGTGGTATTACTATACCTACTGGTCAAAACCTCCTTTCTAAGGAGAGGCCTATGTCGAGCAGTGGACTATTATAGGCTGTTGATGATGATGATGAAATTAAATAATGAGTATAAAATGATAGCTTACGAAAGAAAATAATAAATATAGTTAGCCTCTAATGTTCGCGTCCACCTTACTGTACAATAAGTGTGATGTACTTAATGTTAGACAATTATACATACTACATGCAGTACTCACGCAACACAAAAATACTCCATTCATAAAAATGTCCAAACGTCGTACAGATAAAATATGTAACGTTCCAAAACCACGTGCTTCATTTACTAAAAGGTTTTTCTTTTACTTAGGTCCGTACCTATACAATAAAATAAACTTAAGTTGCCCCATATACGGTTTGTCTCACTTTAAATGCAAAAATACACTCAGGTCATTTCTCCAAAACAAATCTTATGATGAAACCGAGGAATTCTTGCCATAAAATCTTAACATATTATTTTAATATAAATCTATGTACCTACATGCAATGTCTGCCAATATTTATTCAACTATATATATTTAAATTCACACTTACAATCACACCAACCACATTAAATTTAAACAATATACAAGTACCTATTCAATCTCAAAAAAACAAATCCAAACAGACTATACAAACACACACATACACGCACGCACGCACGCGCCCACCCTTGTATGTAATATATTATATTATTATATATACACACTCACTAACACATACATTCACACTTACACTCATATCCTGCATGAAACTCTTATGTAAATTAATACTAAGCTCAAATTGTAGTCTTTAAATGTTCTCAACTTTTATTTCATCACTTGTTTTAAATAAATAATTGTATTTACCGATTGCATATTCCAAAGGGGACAGGACTGTTATTCCTTACTACAGGTTACTGCGTAACCTATCAAAGGTAACAGAACTCCACCCACAAGATTGTATCTATATATATGTAATTGAAATTAGAACTAAGTCACAAGCCTTTGTACTACAATCACCTTTTTACCAATAAAAATTATTATTATTATTATTATAATACAAAATATGGCCTCCACCGCATCACATGTAACATATCTTTGACATGCCTATTTGACTCTCCACATTGGATGTTTCAGGTTAGTTCCTTACCACTTGCGCCGTGGTGCCGTCTGGCAGTGTGATGATGGGGTTGTTGGGGTCCACCTGTATGAGTGACACGGAGCCGTCCGGGTTCGTGATGGTCTGCAGCATGGCCGGCGCGTACTGCGACATCTGTCGTTCACCAAAGCGTAGTGTCAAATAATGTATACAACATTCTTCTTTTACGTATAAAAGAAATGAATTAAATCTTCATTATGGTATTGTAACACATTTTGCTGTAAAAAAAATTAATTTTTTGAGTTTTCTTCATTAGTGAAAAAATAATTAAAATGTGATTCTATTTTTATTTTTTGTGGTTCTTAGTAATTTTAAGATATTTTTCATAAATTATAGTAAGATAACGTGAGTGTTTTATATTTTTTTTTGTTATATATTCTATACAAACTAAAATAAAAAGACGTGAAGAAAAAGGGATACCTCATCATCTAGAAAAAAAAGGGTTACCTGGAGGAGCAGTAAAATAATTTTCACATGAGCGAAACAGCAGGTGAAAGTTAGTTCATCATATTTTATATAGTAATTATTGCTTTGAGGAATATTAATTATGTCAAATATTAAGAATAAATATTCTGTGGTGTTTCAATTTCATTTCAGGGCCTCAATTCTGTTATTTTAATATTGATGGACTGTCGGCGGAATAGTTTTGCACTTTTCGTACTCTACTTACTATGTAAGAATAATGGTCTGTCGATGACTTGTCACTATGTGTACGCATACCAATGACGTCGATGTTTTTGTAATAGTTTGGTAAACGGTATATTTTAAATATGTAAGGAAAATATTTAAGAGATATGGCGATGTCGTTAATATCACTATTGATGAGTGTTTGTCACTACATCCATAGTCTATCGATACTGTGAATGTAAGTTTAGTAGAATACCGATATTTTGACCGATAACAATGTCATTTCAATGGCATCTGAATAGCGTGATAATGGAATGACAGTGGCTTGACATTAAATAGCAGAATTGAGACCCTGTAAACATACAAAGCTTTTCTACTTTGTTTTTAATATTTCATCTTTGCAATCTCAATTTTAACCATTAATAAAGTAGTGGAAGTTCAATCACTACAGTTTACACATATATTTTTTATGTTTAAAATAAAAATGTGTAGTAATCGTTCTGCGTCGAGTCTGCAGAGTCTGTTATCGCATAGGATGGGGAGTGATTACATCGACATCAGCGAGCGTCATCTGGTCGATGCAGACTTGCTGCGCGGAGAGCACGGCCGGCGCCTGCGCAGAGCGCGCCGCGCCGCCCGCGTGCTGGCTCGCTACGGGCATGCACGCCGATATCTACGCCGAGCGCGACCACCGATCCAGTCAGACAGCATTAATAAACAGTAACACCACTTTAGAATTGCTTTTTTGTTCAGAACCTTGTGTACGCTAGTTCAAAGGAAAAAGAACCTGCCGAATGCGTGTCGGGCCACACCCGAGATAGCGCTCCGTAATTATTACATATTATAAACATTTCACATTTACGACTTATTAAGAAAACAATAAAATAAAGGTTTTATTTAACCCTAAGCTAGTTTTTAAAATTGTCCTCCTGATTAACTCCCTTCTTTTTAAAAAAATGTGTTTAAAGAGAAAAAATAGTATTATACTATTAAAGGAAAATTACTGTTAAAAACATTTCTGTGAGAAAAGAATGAAACGAACACTATACCTACTAGTTTATTTTAGTTTAATTTCCACTATAAAATAAATGTACAACACAGCTGCGGCGATTTTTAAGATCACAGTAATAGAGACGGCATAAAATCTCAATCACCTGTTATAAATTATATAATTAATAAATCATATAATCACACCTGTGACATAGGAGGGAAGGGGACACTTGACTGTAAGAAAAATCAGCGCTTTAAAGCTTAATATCTCACAAACGGATACCATAATCAAAAATATTCACTGAACAAACCTCTATTATTTTTAAAAGACCTATGCAATGATACCCAACATTATGGGAAAACCCCAAGGTACTAGAAAAATATTGTTCTAGAATTCATTTTACCACTTTATCAGCATGATTAGCTTGTATGTTCCAGCGAAATTAGAGGTTTCAGAACTGATAGTCAGTGAGATATAATGTGGACGAACTGACATGAGGAAATGGAACCCTTATGGGTCCGCTTTTGCCATTTTGGCTACGGAAGCCTTAAAAACAAGCGAGCCACGAGTTGTCGTATAAAACGTGTTACATCTGCCATCTCTGCTAGTATCTGATGAGCTGGCCATAACACTCCATGCTCATCGGTCATATTCGATTTAGCGGATGATAGGAAAATACAAATTGCAGGAAAGCGGCAAGAGAAACATCACCCACCAATAAAACCCTGACCAACATTGAAAGTAAATAGGAATTTTTAATACAATAATCTACAATACAAGTCTTTTTATTGTATCTCTCAATGCTATACAAAATATTCAACCATTAGAAAATAGACACAATTGTTAATTTATTAATAACATAATCCCATTCAGACCTTGAAGTGTCTGTATTCAAATAGATTTCGTAGCAACATTCTGCCCTGTCTAAATTGAATGTATAAAAATCAATATCTGCCCTGTTCTTCGAACTTTGACATACATACATAATAAGTATTTATTATAAAATAACAATAAAATAAAATAGTAAAATAGTTTTAAAAAACTAAAAAGCATTTTTAAAACTATAATAATAATAATTATTATTTTTTAATTAGTGCATTGTCATCGGTCCTCGATATATCTACAAAGTTTCGTTATAAAAGAATGCGAAAACGTGAACACATTTAAAAATAAGCTTAAGAAATATGTATGTACATGTAACTTCTAATACTCTAGAGCTAAATTGCATTGTATTATTACTTTTAACTTTGTATCTCATTATAAATGGACTGTATGTTTGTATGAGAAATAAATTCTTTAAACCGAAGTTTGAACGAATTCTGAAAGTCAGTCAAAATCACGCCCAAAGGAGTCGGTTACAAACATACAAACATACATACAAGTGAAGCTAATATAAAGCGTGTAAAAATACTTTTATATGGTCAAAGCCATTTTATTGAACATTAGGTATTCTATAAATCATAGAAGTTAAAAGATTACCTCAGACAATTTGAATTAATAGACATACCAAACGAAGTGCACTTATTTATAGAACAAAATTAGCCGATATATTAGATAAATCTGCTTAATTATTACTGTTAATAGTTTCGGATACCAATAAAACGAGTACGAGTAAATAACAGAGAAGTAACTCACGGGTTGCGTGGGAGGTCCCTTATCCTCGTCTTCATTGAAGGCGGGCAGCAGGTCCTCCCGCCCGTGGTACTTGTAGCAGTTGATCACTATCTGACGCAGGGCGTGGGTCCACGACATCTGCAACGTAACAGTACACGATTATTTATCTATATTCAGAAATAGACTGCCTCGGAAGCGTATGCGACTGCTGTGCTAAGGTCGATTTCCGAGTCGCACCAAGTGTTTGTATGATTTGTAAATATTTGTATAATATGTATCTATTTACAAAAAAAAATATAAGTATTCTATCAGTCAATCTAGCTTTCATAGTGCAAGCTCTGCTTACTTTGAAACTAGATGGCGTTGTGTTAGGTGTCCGAAATATTATTATTATTATTATATTGAAGCTTAGTACCTGCATTTATTTAGCATACATACGTCATAATCAATATATCTTCGGTAAAATTCTTTAGTAGAGAGAGACATCTGCGTCAGAGAATATAATTTAAAAAATCCGGACAAATGCGAGTCGGACTCGCCCACCGATTGTTCCGTACAAATTTGTAGGTACATATTACAAATAGTTCAAGAGTCGAGTCTCCCTGTTTCTCAACTTTTCCTGAAATTTAGTTTCCAAAACCCATAATTACTTAAATTGTGCTTAATAAGTGAAATTGTACCTGGATGATTGACGTACTTTAAATAAAGATTACATGTTTTGATTAAATTCCAAATGTATAGTTTTCAGATTTTTCCCTGTACTTGTAGTAAAAGACGATGTTACTTGCTAAATTTCGTAGTTCTACATCAGAGAGGAGTACCCTATGAGTTTTGATTAATTTGACATTGGTGCTAATTCTGTTGTTCGAAAACTCTCTAAACTAAACTAAAAATCACTAAAAAATTTGTTTCATCCTGTCAAAAAACGTTTCCTGTTCTGAAAACGTAGAATTTGGCAGGACTAAAAAATTTTCTTGTGATTTTTAGTTTAGTTTAGAGAGTTTTCGAACAACAGAATTAGCGCTAGTGTCTAAAATTTGCGTTTTTTTGCGGAATAAATGGCCTTATCTTTTTTTCTCGTTAACTAAAATTTTTTTAAAAACTTCGTTAAGTTTGATTTTTTCACAGTTGTAAAGGGCCGTAGACCTGAGTAAATGGTTTTAATTTTAACTCGATACCTCCACACGTAAATAAAGTGTCCCGAGATAAAGTGTCTTGACAAACAGACGGACGGAAAACAAAGTGATCCTATAAGGGATACGGTTTTTTTTTGAGGTACGGAACCCTAAAAACGTTAAATTCTAAAACGCGCGTCAGTTATTAAAGATGGACATACCACCTACTCCTACTTGTTTGCCATTGAGACTTTAAACAAAAATTAAAATACACAATGACCTGTTTCATTTTGTAAACTTCTGTTTAACCTTGTTAACATTATCTTTTTCAGACCTATCCCTGTTTAATCAATAACTTTTTAACTTCGAGATAAAGTTTCTTGGAAAAAAGGCCAGCAGTCTTACCTTCTGCTTCTCATCCTCAGTTCTGGCGTCCATACGCACGTTGGCCCAGGGTAAATCCTTGGGCCACCATGGCGGACGGGTAGACTCGCGGCCCCAACCTGGTTTACCGCGGACTGCAAAAGTAATAATAATAATAATATCTTTATTTTTCAATAAAATAACACTTTTAGCATTAATTTGTAAATTACAAAAAGTAAATTACATTTTATATTTCTAATTAAACCTATTATTAACTTAAAAAAAAGAGAGATGTGCAAGTTTGCGTAAAAATCTAATTTGTCATTTTTTCTACAAGCGTTCAATTTAGTTTTATGATTTTATCGAAATCGATGATTTCTATATATATTTAAAAAAATCTTTTTGGGTTAACTGCAAGAGTCAAAGGGTAGAAAATCATTTAGTTATTCCATTTCTAGACAGTCTCGTTCTATGTGTATCGGTAGAAGAGTCGCAAGGTGAGCCTTACCCATAGAGTACTTGAGCATGAGAGGTATGAAGGCGCGCAGTTGCGCCTGCGTCATCTTCTCGACAGGAGTGGGGATCCCGTCGATGATGAGCGGCGGCAGCTCGAAGAGCGACGGGTCGTCCTGCGGCGGCGGCGGCGCCTGCGGGCCCCCGCCCAGCCCGAACTGACGCTCGTTATATAGCTCTTGCGTCGCGAGCACCCCGCTCGCGCGCCGGGTTGTACGGTACATAGCGTACTTGAGGATCTCTACTATCCGGCTCTAATAACTCGCTTCGAATACTATATTCGACGGGTATAAAAAGTAAATCACCGAATGTCAGAGATCCTCAGTAAACTGACACAGACAACCCGTTTTCCCCCAAAATTTCAGCTGAGATTGACTCCTATTTTTATTACCATAGACTAACTGACACGAAAATAAAATGAATATTCCAATTTCAAAATCACATGACCCTTAGGCACAGTAATTTGTTTTGTATGTTTTACATAAGAAGTAGTCTATAGTAACAAAGTATATGTACACACATGTGAGGTTCACTCATAATTATGAATTATATAGTTTCTGTAATATTCTAGTCATACTAAAATCAGAGAAATCTTTATTAAATTTGCCTAGGATGAGTTTATTCCACATCGACTCGGTCGTCATGGTGACCGCGTTCGGCGTTGAGATTGGCCCGCACTGAACTCTCCACCAATCGCAACGGCGAACGAGATCGCCGTCGAGAACGACTCGATGTAAAATAAACTTACACAATTTATTCCCCATATTATTCAGACTCGGTCGTCATGGTGACCGCGTTCAGCGTTGAGATTGGCCCGCACTGAACTCTCCACCAATCGCAACGGCGAACGAGATCGCCGTCGAGAACGACTTGTTGTGAAATAAACTTACACAATTTATTCCCCATATTATTCAGACTCGGTCGTCATGGTGACCGCGTTCAGCGTTGAGATTGGCCCGCACTGAACTCTCCACCAATCGCAACGGCGAACGAGATCGCCGTCGAGAACGACTTGTTGTGAAATAAACTTACACAATTTATTCCCCATATTATTCATACATCTATATTCCCCCCCTTAAAAAACCAAAATACACTACAGAGGGCCAAGTGCGAGGTTATTTCAGATCTACTCGATCGTGACGGTGACCGCATTCGCTGAAGAGATATTCAGATCTTTCATAGTCCAAGTTCTACTTCAGTCTATAGAAATCGACTTACCTGTTGAGCAAGTGCATTCTCCAGTTCCTCCATGATCATGCAGCGGAGATTGCGTACCACGTCCTCGAGGGGCTTGGCCCCAAACACGCGGTACGAAGTGTTCGGCTTGCCCGGCGTCGCCACTAACACGACGGCTTGTTGACCAACGCGGGTGGCGAATTCTTCTATTGTTTGCTGCGTGTAATTAACGAGACTATTACATGTACATATTGTGTGTGTATAGGAATAGTTGTATTCCTAATGCGCAATATTATACACAGTAATTTTTTTTATGGGGGTAATTACTGGGGAATATTTTGATTCGATGAAAAACAATGATTTGTGTAACACCGATTTAGAGTATCTTTCCTGTCGGGACAACATCCATAAATTGCGTCACAAGAATTTATTTGTTTTTGACCCCCCTCCCCTCTCCTTTGTCATAACGGGTCACATTTATGAGACCTCACTAGTGTAACGTCACATATTTTGCAATTTTACATAGAATTGACGACCGGATGGCGTAGTGGTTTGTGTAACGGACTGCTATTCCAAAGGTCGCGGGTTCGATTCCCGCTCAAGTCAAGCATTTGTGTGCATGAACATTTAATGTTTGATTTGCTCTGGGTGTTTCTATGTATAATATGTATGTATTTACAAAAAAAAAGTGTATATGTATTTATATCCGTTGTCTAGTACCCACAGTACAAGCTCTGCTTAGTTTGGGACTAGATGGCGTTGTGTGAATGTGGAAAAAAAAAAATTACATCGAAGCATTTTTCGATGTAATATTGCAAGTTAAAACATGATTGCCGAAATTCAGACATTTAGATAAAATCAACATCAAATCAAATATTAGAAAAAATTACAAAACAAAAAACGATGAATTGTATTACTGTTAATGTCTTAATCAAATTGCAACTCCCTATCTCATTCCTATTCTCCTTCTCCACCCAGTGGTTGCCTGGAAGAGATGGCAAATCGCGATAAGGCCGCCAATTGTACAACTTTTAATATTTTACTTTATGTTTAATATATATAACTTTAGATTATAAGACTCACACCAATGTATACAAACTGTATTATTTTTATGTTTTTATTTTACAATAAACAACTTATCTATGTAATGTTATAATTCAAATTTCTTGTTTTAATAATTAGAAATTTGGTTTTAAAACATGACGTTATGAAACTAAGGATCCCTCCTACTCACATAATATTACACTTTGTCGACCCCCTCCGCCCTTAACGTGTGACGTAATTTAGGGACGCCCCCCCCTATTGAGCAATGTATACAAAAATATCTTTATAAACAAGAATAGACCAAATTCTAAGGACAAGACAGGAATAATAATTGGACTCACTCTCAATTTTCTAAGTAGTCTGTTTTGGTGTCTCTTCCTGACTGAGGGGTTTGTTTCAAACGAGTGTGGCCTTTTGCGCTTCTTTGACGATTGAATTGCCGCCGCGGCAGCCATACCGACAGGACCTGCTTATCAAGAGTATGACAATAATAGGTGTTAGTTAACACATACTTGACACTTAGACCTATGATCTTTCAATAGGGTTACAATAGAGATGCCACGAATATTCGGCAACTGTTCGGTACTCGGCTATTAGGCATTTTTTTCCACTATTCGGTAATCGGCTATGAGGCAATTTTTTTTAACTACGGAACAGTTAAAAATTCGGCCAAATATTCCGAACTATCTAGCAGAACACCGAATAATAAATTATGAATAAAAAATGCATAATACTACTCACAAAGATTTTTATTTTACCAATAACTTATCAGATTAATACTTAAAACAATTTTTTCAGCATTGGTTGATAGGCAACGATAGTGATAGATTTCCACATAAATTATACCTGCTTCGGAAAATAGTCGATCACTGTATATACTGCTTCCGGGAGATGATAAATAAATCTTAGCAAATTAAAATTTAATGTTAAAAAAATTAAATGTTAGGTTAGGATATTATTTTGCGTTTGCTGACCATTTTAGTAATTACTAGTACTAAGTGTTGCCGAATATTCGACACTTCGGCCAAGAGACTCGCCGAATATTCGTTATTCGGCCAAATCACTATTCGTGGCATCTCTAGTTAGCAGGCCTGCTAAACGTGTTCGTGTTTGTATACCGACCGGCTGCTGCAAGCTGTTTGGTGACTTCATCGCTCATCGCGTTTTTAATAATATCTGCACTGTCATCGTAGGCTGAGTTTGTAGGTGAGGAACCACACTCATCGTCTTCATCTGAGCCGCCGCTTAGTCCGCAACCATCCACTTGCGACATATCCTGCAAGTACACACAATTCATAAAACACTAGTATTGATAATGATAAAAAAGTATGCTTCTGTGAGAAATTCATTTAATAAATAATAACCCTATATGTTTAGTAGAACTGTTTGCTGAATAACTTTACAAATTGTGCCTGATCTTGTTAAGGACTGATCCAAACAACCTTGTAGGATTTCTGCCCAAGGTATCAGTTTTAATGTGTTGTATCTGTAGTTATTCCTACGCATCTTAAAACATATTTTTTTTAGGGAAGAGGGGGCTAACGAGCAGACCCGATGGAAAGTGACTACCGCCGCCTATAAAAGCCTGCCACTCAGGAGTCACAAGCGCGGCCGGCCTTTTAGGAAGGAGTATGATATTTTAGTGAAGGTTTAACTACATTTTTTTTATAGTTTAGAATAAATGTTTGCGGCATCTAACGGAAAACTGCACTGAAAAGAAGAGGGGGATTGACCTATACTAAAGAGATTTGTATAGTGTATCTGTATCTCACCTCTTCACCCATATCCATAGATTCTGTGCTGACGGCCGTATTCATGGTGTTGTAATCGGATTTGTCCTGCCCACTGAGCTCCAGGACCATTTGATTGTCCGCCACTTTGAACTTGTGGCCACAACTCAATAATCAAAATTAGACACTTCAGGTTCAATTTTATGACCTGAAATGAATTAGAAAGGAAAGATATTATTAATAACATGTCATACATGAAGTAAAAAGCTTCTAAGCTTTAATATTAACTACTAACTTTCCTAGAGGAAGGAAGGCCTTTTTCAAACAATTTTAACCATATGGTGATCTCCAATAAGAGATTTTTTATGTTTATGATTATATATTATTAATCATATTTTATCCCAAACCTATATAATAAAGGGTATAACACATTTTAAAAACATAAGCAGTACTTAAGTCTTGTATAGACATTTTCAAAATGAACAATAGTTTTTTTGTTGACACATCAATCTTAAGGCTAAATTGCTATTCTAAATGTTGTGTTTTCTTCTATTTAAAATATTCGGAGTCTGTCAATGTAAGCAAAACAATATAAAATTGTAGTCAAACAAGAATAGACAGTTGGCAATTATTTTTTGATAGTTTAGAGCAGGGATTTCCAATGTGGTTGATATCAACCCGTCTGAAATTGGTTTCCCAGGGGTTGACATAAAAACGACACGAAAACTGATTTTGGGGGGTCGGCTAGGCCCCCAAAATCAGTTTTCGTTAATGTTTCTAAAAATCGATCCCTATTAATTAACACAGTTACAGTAGTTACCATAGTACAGTTATTTTGTCTAGATTGTCAGTAACTGGTAAGTCACATCTTGGAAAATAGGTGTACATTGAAAAACAGTCTGAAAAGTTTATTTTCCAAAGATAAACACCTGTTTTGAAAGTTGAATAGACAACATTTATCTTTTTAATCATGGATACTCCATACAGTTTATACTAGCACAATTACACAACACACAATACACAATTAATATGGCTAATTTGCTTTTCTGAATGAAAAATAATTATTTTTTAATAGTTTAATCTTATACTAATCATTTGAACTCTTGAATATGCTTGATCATTGACCATAGCATAAGTGCTATTGTCATAAACATAGCCAATAATCGAGAGGTATTATAAGATCAATTATAAGGAGCAAAAATAAGTTTTCAAGAATAGATCTGTGATTTACCCCAGCAAGCTTACTATTTTACTTGGACCTAAATATAAATAGTAATATTATGTGTTCAAAACTCAAAATCTATAAATCTATACTATCTCATTTATAAGACAATGCTCCTTAATCAAAGGATGTTGCCAAGTAGTGCTTTAAAGTGTGATTAGAGTTCACTTGTCCACTTGACATTAGTGTGGAAGAAAATATATAGCCCTAGTAAAATAAACCTTCCATAAAATTTATTGATTTTTTAATCAATAAAACATGGCTGGCACTCATAAATATAAACTATGTATATTTAGAACTAATACAATCTCAAGATGTTTCATTCTCTAAATTTACCTATCATAATAATATTTAAAACATTTTTTTTTTGTGATATCTTCATCATCAATAATATGTCTCTATTACAAATAATCTGCACAAATTCATAACTATTACATGTTTTAGGAACCATTGACCCCCAAGCTACATAAAATCAATAACACCAAGTAACAGTAACACAGTTAATGAATAATTAATGAAGTTAATCATAACATATGGCCCTAGGCAACATATACTATATATAGCTATCAATTGGAGACTCCATTTTGCACTTGACCTGTGGCCTTTCTAAACTTTTACATATTCAGGATAGTAAATCATTAATTCTTTCAACTAAGTATGTTTAAGTTTTTAATATTAATTAAAACTTGTACCAGTCATAATTTTTTAACAATATACCTTTACAATTAGATTTGAATCTATCATAGGTGGGATGTATGTGTCTTATTGGAATAGAAGGAAATCCGATTTTGCATTCCGACGATAAATACAACCTTTCAAAAGGGTTGACTACGGAATCGTGAATTGCGAGCCATACTGAACTTAGTTAAGCATATCTATATTCCACTGTTTGACTATTCTATTGTGTAGACAGCTAGCTACGAAAAATCAATACTTATGCCTCCCTATTAAATATCTATCTATCATAACTAGGTGTAAACTTTAAATCAAACGAGAATAGAACTGAAATTAAACTACCATGATTTCAGGAAAGGAAATGCAATTCGGCTGCACTTATTATAACAGCTTGAATTTTCTTTCCGATCCGCACTTTAACTGCAATGTCCCATTCACCAATGACGCATTTTGTTTAATGTTTTGTTTATACGGTGCATGGTGGCCCGCAACGGGTCAGCTTCGAAGACGCATGACATGACGCAAGCTCTTTGCGGCGGCGTAAAGGATAAGCCCAAATGAATGGCCATCATGAAGGGGAGTCGCGCGTTCGAGCAGGCCCAGACAGATTGGAAAGACTACGGCTGCGTACGCACCTGCGTGATTTGAAACTCATGTTGCAATCCAATTAGAACTTCAAAACTTGCTGTGATGTAACCCGCTCAAAACTACACTGTTTTGCAACTTTTACACCCGTCCGGACACTGAATTCACAAAAATTATGGAGTGCACTAGAGACCTCGAAAAATTCAAGTCCTCCATTAGTATCGATCGGTAAGCGCGGTATGTAGACCATGTAAACTTCATATCTAGGGGTCGCCATTTTGTACGAGTCTGCGCGGTGTGATTTTCGCGTGGAAAGGGAAACCGCCCCTCAGCCTGAGGGGGGATCGGAATATTATTATTGTAAGTAAATAATGGCTTATTTTAACAGAGTTACTCACCAATTTTAGCAGTCCGATATCGATATTTCGCCTGAGTCACTGTAGTACTAGATGTTCAGGAAAAATCCCTAGTTTATTTTCGAAATTGATCATTTCATGTCAACTCGTAGAGACATCTAGCGAAATTTTCCTCAACTGATTTGACACTTCGTGATTGTAAACAAATTTTCACTCTATTGTGTTATTGTGAAATTACTTGCTGTTCGCGTACTGTGATTGTTATTCTCAAAAGAATTGCAAGATTTGAAAGTGGCCCCACGTTCTTTCAATAAATTGAACAAGTAAGTCTCAACAGTTATTAAAGTGGAATGGTGTTTATTTGCCAATTTGAGGTTATTTAACACTGGCTGCTGTAGGCACAGAAATCAAAAAGTTTTCGTAGGTAAAACCTTCGTTCAATATTGTTGTTTTAGAATCTTACATCTTTTATATTATATTTTGTAGTAGTGTTTACTTCGATTAAAAATTATGTTCATAAGAGTTCAACTGTGGTAATTCATCAGCCTTACGGAATATCTATTAAAATAACCCCGTAAATTACATTGTCATTGTACTGATACAACCTGTTTTAGAAGTTTCAGTAAACATTTTTAAATATTATTGAATTAATATTGTTATTTTAAATAAATACAACACAGTTTCTAATTGTGGATCTACTTGCTCAACCTACTAGAAGAGAAATATTATTGTAATGAGGTTAAAACCTAATATGGCTATAAAAATTATAATCTTTTTAGGGTTCCATACAAAAAGGGTAAAACGGGATCCTATTACTAAGACTCCGCTGTCCATCCGTCCGTCTGTCTGTCTGTCTGTCTGTCTGTCTGACCGTCACCAGGCTGTATCTCATGAACCATGATAGAAAGTTGAAATTTCAACAGACAATGTATTTCTCTTGCCGCTATAACAACAAATAATAAAAACAGAATAAAATAAATATTTAAGGTGGGCTGCCATACAACAGATGTGATTTTTTTGCCTGTTTTATAGATAATGGTACAGAACCCTTTGAGCGGGAGTCCGACTCGCACTTAGCCGGTTTTTTAATCTTATTATTCCTGGAATAGTTTATAATAAAGACCAAAAAATCTTGTTTGAGGAAGGAATATGCTCTATTCTTGAATTTCGTATTGGTCTGGAATTACAGCAGAAGAAAACTTGTACCACTTGATTGGTTGTGCAAAGCATAAAGTGTCTCATAAAGTGCACTTTGTCTTCATCTCTCGTAAGGAATAAATTAACCCTATTTGCAACCTTTTTTAGTCATGCTCGGCTACTATTGGTGGCAGAATGATGTTATGCAGCCCATATCACACAATTGGGCAATCCAACCTCAATGAATGGGCAATCCAACACTAAAATAATTTTTCAATGTAAACCAGTTCTTGAGATTAGCATGTTCAACCAAACAAACTACAGTTTTATAATCTTTCTTTTAAATAAAAAAAAGATAATTCCCGCATTAGGAATATATTCCTGTGTTGCGGGGAACTTTAAAAAAGTACATGAAACAGAAAGAAAGAACACCCAGACTCAGAACAATAATTTGTGGATCACACAAAGTGTCGTCCCATGTGGGGTTTGAACCCACAATACTCGGCGCAGCGCCATCCGTGCAGCCATACTTAATTTATATATATTTACTTATCTTGCAAGCGGTCTAGTTGTACCAAGCTTTTGGTTTCCATTTGTGTAGTCATTCATTGAAGGTAGTCATTCATAATTATGCTAGGAAATATGGAGGTGATGTTCTGAGTATAATATGTTTATAACAATCATCTTGACTACAAAAGTGTAACTTTGAAAAACCAAATTATTATTTTTTATTTAATTTTAGTGAAAATTTGATCTCGCAATGCACCTGCTGTATTGGTGTTCACTTACATTTGAATGTTACATTGTGAGGCAATTGTGTTAATAATCCATATAATGTCAGTGTCTAAAGCTACTTTCTTGAAAATTGTATAAAGGTATGGCTACTGGACCCACATACAGTCATCCACTAAGATTTTGGTGATATCATTTATTTTGCATAATCCTTTAAGCAGTATGTGTACTTCTGCTATACCTAGGTCGATGAGTTTTGTCTCACCTTGATATGCCTACAATATATAGCGAAAGTGTATTAGATACACAAGAGAGTTGAAGGGTACAAGAAAAGAGGAAGACCAAAGAAAAGGTGGATGGACTATGTGAGTGAGGATATGGCTAGGAAAGAAGTAAAAAGTAAGATGATGAATGATAAAGTAGAATGGAAGAATAATACTTACTGCGCCAACCCCAAATAAAATTGGTACAAGGGTAGGCAGATATTAGATACACAAGATAGTAATTCTTGGTAATAGGCATTGGATAAGAAGGTATGTATAATAGTATTATACACCATCAGAAGTGGTTGGTTCCTATGGCTATGGCTTATGTAGTTCTATAAAACATGACTAACTTTTCGAAAGACCGCATTTGTCTTTCGATTTAATGGCTCAATTTTGTTTTTTTTTATGTTAGAGGAGGCAGACGAGCAGACGACTCACCTGACGGAAAGTGACCATCGCCGCCCATGAACAAAACTTTTTAACTGGTGAAAAAGCAAGTTCATTTATATTTTCTCTAGACAGCATGTGGAATAACTGGTATTTGTATATGCCGAATCCGATGTAGGATAATTCTCAGGCCACCTATAGAGACCCATCGTGGATGTACTGGTATTGGTCATAATGGAGTGGATAGAACAGCAACATGGGGACTGTAGTTTAGGTCTTGTATTCTATAACTGCTTTAGAGGGTATTTATGAGCGGTAGTGGGGAGGGAAACTTACTTTTGGGGGTAATCTTTCTTTTTTTTTTGTACGATATACAGGGATAACCAATAGGTAAAATAAAATACTAATATTAGTGGAGATAGAAGACTAGAAGACAGCCGCCACGAACCAGTCACCCGTTTGTTATTATTATTCTTTTTTTTTATAAAAGACAACTCCCGCACTAGGAATAAATCCTGTGTCGCGGGGTACTTTACGAACATACATGAAACGGACACAAAGAACACCAGACTCAGAATGACAATTTGTGGATCACACAAAGTGTCGTCCCATGTGGGGATCGAACTCTTTTAAAAAAAACAAAAAAAAAAATAATAAAAATAAGCCTGTGACCACGGCCGGTGCAACCTGGTCGAAACGTCAGGCAAACCAGAGGTATGTAATACCCTAAATAAGAGATCGCGTTAATTCCCGTTAAATAAAAATAATTATAGATATTGCAATAGATTGATAATAAAAAACAACTGTCTCTTTATCTCTATTCTTTTATATTATTGTATAAATCATACGCCTAAATAAACCTATATAAACTAAATGGCATAGCTTAACGACTAAATGACTAATTTATTACATAATGTTACAAGTTATAAAAATTATTCACATAAAATTAAGAAAATCACATCATTGTTAAGTAGTTTCGTCAACTTGTTTCCCCATCTCATCGCGGCCTCTTGTATTCACCGGATTCTTCAGATGATCCTGAAAATAAACCAGTGTAAATTATATTTTTTTTTTAAAAACAAAAGTCAACTCCCGCATTGGGAATATATCCTGTGCCGCAATATTAAATAGGTACACTTGTTTAAAGTAAACAGCGACCTTGACAAGGCTTCACATGCGCGGTTTCTCAAATCTATACACTATACAAATAAATAAAATTGAAGTGTCTGTTTGTAATGTCAAAATAAGGTTCTTTTTTCATGCTCCCACGGTTTTTAGGCATAGGCATGCCTAAAACCAGTTTAGATATTTTTTGTCTGTCTGTTTGTTCCGGGTAATCTTCAAAACGGCTTGACCGATTGTGATAATATTTTACTACCAGGGAGCTGTTTTTTTTCCATCAGAAAACCTATAAAAAATTTTACCCGATCCGGGAATCGAATCCACTAAGGCCGCGGTTTTCGAATACCACGCGGGCAAAGTCGTGGCCACCAGCTAGTGATTAAATACGATGCCATAATGTCTATTTCATTTTATTTGCTTTATGTAGCCACATCGCGTCGATCACACACAGAATAAGGACAATAGCTAAGATGACGACTTGGTATAACGAATAATTTAATTGCATGTTGAAAACATTTATCTCCTACACGATACTGAGAGTTTCAAAAGTAGCCCAAAGACATGAAAAAAATATAATATAGTCCTTAATATTTGACATGTTATTATATTGTGTACTAGCTGAGACCCGCGTTTGTTGTTATAACCGCGGGCAACGCCGCGGGGCGAAGCTAGTCTAAAAAAAGTAGCCTAAGTTACTCCTTGTGTCATCAGCTATCTGCCAGTGAAAGTCCCGACGAAATCGGTCCCGCCGTTCCAGAGATTACCCGGAACAAACAGACAGACAGACAAAAATTGTAAAAAATGATATTTTGGCATATGTACCGTGTAAACATACATATGCATTTATTAAAAAGCGGTTATTTTAATATTACAAACAGACACTCCAATTTTATTTATTTGTATAGATGCATACCTACTGATTACCTATAAACGATATTATTCTAATGTTTTAGATACTTAAATACGCACTTGCGCACACTAAGTCGGGACCTTGTTGTCACATATCAAACAGCGTTACTAATAGTATCACACTAACCAGTAGACCGATGACACCAACGGCCCCGCCAGCCTGGGTCACAAACACACGCGCCGGCCACACACCGGCCATGTCTACACGTGTGTGACGGGGCACAGTTCTCGCCCCGACACGAACAGTCCCCGACCCTTCGCCCGACCTCGCAGTGGTTACCACCGAGGCCGACAGGACACCGGCACTTGTTCACTCCTTTACACCGGCCACCATTTAAACACGGGATAACGCATTTTGCTGAAAATATTTGACTTGGTTAGAAAAGTATTCCTAAACAGAAATTTTAACCAAACGATCTCAGTTATCTTATATTTATTGGGAGTCGGAGACCAGCGAATTCTTTTCGCAAAAGCATATATCGTTTAGCCATAAGTATTTAGAAACTTATCTCACGTATGTGTACATACGGCAAATGAAATACCTGGCCAGGTTTACATGTGTGTGTTTTTCCGGTAAGTATCTTATAGTTACTAGTTTCAATTTCTCCAGTACTAGTTCGTTAAAATCACAAGTACTTCATATCATTGGCCAGGTATTTCGTTTGACGTGTGTACTTTTATCACTTAAAATCAGTAAAAATACTTACAAAATTCACAGCGTAACCCGTAATATCCTTTCGGACATTCGCACGTGTCCTTCTGTATGCACTTGCCTCCGTTCAAGCACTTCTGCGCACAGATACCTAGAAAATACGTCCTTGATTAAAAGATTTGCATTTGTTACAGTAACAAAACATGTTGCGCAGGCCGCTTTTGCAACAAATACGAGAAGCTCACTCAACAGTATCTGCCAGCGGCAGACCGTATTGGAAGAAAAATCCTAATGTATGTTTGGACACAGATCTTTTCTCTCAAAACCATCAATTTTGAACTGATAAACTAATCTACTCATTTCACTTGACATTATCCGTTGCAGTTAGATTCGATAATACGAGTAGACCATGCAGGCGAGCTTGGTGCAGACCGCATCTATGCAGGGCAGATGGCAGTTCTCGGCAATACGGCTGAAGGGCCGCTTATAAAGCATATGTGGGAGCAGGAGAAGAAACATCGCGCAAAGTTCGAGGAGCTTATCAACGAGTATAGAGTGAGGCCAACTGCGCTCACGCCGATATGGAACGTTGCTGGTTTTGTATTGGGTGCAGGTAAGAATATTGATAATCTACATGGATTAACAATTTTATTCATATAGAGGCAGGCCTGAGAATTTGGACTGTGATTCATTTATTTTGGCGTTCACTGTTGGGCAATATTCCAATAGAAAAAGGTTACTATTTTGAATGAATCGAAAATAGTTTGTAAAGAAGTAAAGACAAAAATGAGGGTGGAAGATAATTTTTATAATAGGAAAGGAAAAAGAAATTGGTTGAGCCCATTAATTGTCACCCAGTGCTTGGACAGCGACAATATTCCCATGGTTTCTTCTTCTTCTTATCGTGTCGACAGTAACACTTAACACGGTTTTATCCCAGTGCTTGGCGACGCGAATGGCGTTTAGCCTCGCGAAGGACGTCAAGCGTACACGATTCTGGGCTCGCGGGGCACATTAGCAAATGTTTTCTTAAGAAAGGTTTTTAAAAATGTCCGACTTGTCGGTTTAGTGGTTAGCGATACCGACTTCTAAACCAGAGATCGTGGATTCTCAACTAAGACAAATATTTACAAATAGATAAGAATATTTATTTAGTGCCGCGTTTACGGTAATAGGCTTGCCCCCATTTCATAAATGGGACTAAAATTATAATCGGCAAAATGTGAGCGTTTAATAAGCCTCTGACTACCAGGATAAAGACGTGGGTGTGTGTATGAGTACGTATGTTTTTAAAAATAGGACCAATTCATAGGACTACTCGTAGTCCTGGACTGAAATCCAACAGATATGGTGGTCAAGGTGTCAATGGCCTTAACATTAGCAAATTTTACTTGAGAAGAAATATATTTTTTGAGAATAGAAAGTATAAGACATACTATTTGTGCGTTCATTTCAGCGAAATCATTTAAGCTAAATATAAGGTCATATTTATATGCAGCCAAGTATGGTTATCCGTGATGTGACTGATTAAGAATAAGGAGTGTCACCACCCCTATTCATCCCGTGGGTGTCGTAAGAGCCGGCTAAGGGAGCAAACTACGCAGGACAACAGCACTGCAAAGAGAATTAAAACTTGGCACAAATCCTATACCAACACGTCTGGCCAGTGTGCTATAGTAGGCCAAAACCTCCTTTCTAAGGAGAGGCCTATGTCGAGCAGTGGACTATTATAGGCTGTTGATGATGATGATGATGGTTAGCTAATCTTTATCCAAACCTTTTTATACTTGGCTAAGAAAAGCATTTGTAATATAATGTTATATTATTGTTATTACAGGTACAGCACTACTAGGCAAAGAAGCTGCAATGGCTTGCACAGTAGCCGTTGAAACCGTCATAGTAGATCACTACAATGATCAACTCCGCACTCTCATGGATGATCCAAACATAGACCTGGAAATACTGCAGACCATCACCAAGTTCCGTAATGAGGAGCAAGAGCATCACGACACGGGAATTGATCATGGCGCTGAACAAGCACCATTCTATAAAGCTCTAACCGAAGTCATCAAAACCGGATGTAAGGTTGCCATTGCCATTTCGAAGAAAGTATAATGAACCATAAACTAAGGTGTACCATTCAGGTTTGTAGTAAAGAGGATTTACGATTATTCCTGAAAGACGCAAGTATATCCATAGAGAATGATATCAATTTCATATTTATAGACGAAGTGAAGTGAGCAGATTTTTTAAATTTTTGGCGACTAGTAGTGTAAGTAACCGCAAAATGTTTTTTTTTCAAACATCTGATTTCAGATGTCTGGTAAAAATTTAGTTCGTAGTTTTAATTTATTCGTAGTTTCTCTAATAGGGTCAAATTGTTATCTTTTTAGTAAACACTAAGCTACATTTGCAAGTAAATTTTATATTTTGAAAAAGTTTTGACGTTTGATTTTTGATGACGCCATCGCCTTAGTGTTATCAAATAATTTAATTTTAATTTGATCACTTTAAAATAAATTAAAGAGTTAAAATAAAAATGGGCGACAATTTTCACTCTATTTTAAATTATTTTATTGCCCGAGTTATCTTAATTTTATATGATTTAAACTTTAAACACATTAAAGCGTTTAAAACCATTTTTTTAAAGTTGTGAACTCCTGGATTATATTTATTTTTAAATTAGCTTTTTTTTAATTGATTCTTCTGAGCTACGGCAGCGCAAACCTTTTTCATTCACGGTCCTTCTACCTAACCTCTTGTGTACCTACATAAAGAATTTAAACACTAATGTGCTATCTAGTTATTCGTGTCTTGGTTGTGTTTCAGAATAAAACCTAATAAAAAGAATAGGTCGGACGAATATATAGATGTAGATACTTTTTAATGTATCAACTACCTGGCTATGTATTATGTTCTGCAATAAATAAATTATTGATTGATTGATAACATAATATATAATCAACTTAAATGTAAACTCCTAAAAAGGCCGTACACAAACTAAAATTATATCATCCAAGAAAACAATAATATTCATTAAAAATGTTCATAAAATGAAAACTACTGGGCCTAACTATGTTATGTTATGGGACCAAATGGCAACTATTCCGCATCAAACTAAAGAAGAATCACGTAAATCGGATCATATATCTCAGAGTAATCGGTGTACATACATAAAAAAAAATACCAATCGAATTGAGAACCTCCTCCTTTTTTAAAGTCGGTTAAAAAATAACGAAGGTTCATATAAATTCCAACCCCCATTTTGCACGCTGAGGGGTGGAATTTTCAAAAATCCTTTCTTAGTTCGCACCTACGTCACCTAAAGAAACATTTGTGCAAAATTTCATTCTTCTAGACCCAGCGGTTTCAGCTGTGCGTTGATCGATCAGTCATGGAATCATTCTGTCAGTTTCTTCTTTTATAGATATAACTGGCTGAGACCCGCGGTGTTACCCGCGTTTGTTGTTATAACCGCGGGCATTGCTGCGGGGCGAAGCTAGTCTAAAAAAAGTAGCCTAAGTTACTCCTTATGTCATCAGCTATCTACCAGTGAAAGTCCCGTCGAAATCGGTCCAGCCGTTCCAGAGATTACCCGGAACAAACAGACAGACAGACAGACAAAAATTGTAAAAAAATTTATTTTGGCATATGTACCGTGTAAACATACATAAGCGGTTATTTTAATATTACAAACAGACACTCCAATTTAATTTATTTGCAGAGATTAAATGCATACAATAAAAATGAATTACATTACACATGCATGTTATTATTGTTATTCTGTTCTAAAAGCATTTCTAATAATATTTCTCTTGATGGTCTATCAAGAAATATAAAAATGACAACTTAAACGAGAAGTCTCCTGTACGACCGTCTGCATTTTTATAGCTCAATAGTATTTACCGAGCTAGCGATAATAAATTTAATTTATCAAAATCTGATACGCTTAGAGTAGCTAAAATACCTCATGCATGTAATCTATACTAATATTATAAAGCTAAAGAGTTTGTTTGTTTGTTTGTTTGAACGCGCTAATCTCAGGAACTACTGGTCCGATTTGAAAAATTCTTTCAGTGTTAGATAGCCCATTTATCGAGGAAGGCTATAGGCTATATATCATCACGCTAAGATCAATAGGAGCGGAGCACCAATGAAGAATGTTTCAAAAACGGAGAAAATTTATTACTATTGAGAGACGCAGACGAAGTTGCGTGGGTCACCTAGTAATATATATATATATATATATATATTTCTATTTATTGTTATTTAAGTAAATATTAGTGTTTATTGTTATAATACCATCTCTTCAATTTTAATTGGTTAAAATATTTCATGTCTGTACCCGTTATGTATACAGGAAATAAAATATTACATTGTATTAATTTTTAAGAGTATTTGTAACATTTCTGAGTGCAACTACTTACGAGTTTATTTGTTTGTGTTTATTTATTTAGTGTACCAAACATAATGTTATATATAGAACTGAGTTAGCTGAGAAAATATTAGCCAAACTAGAGCGTTGTATATTTTCATTAATATAACTGTTACTGAAATTTAGTTTTATTGCTTTGAAATGATATTAATAACGGCCTGTTGGTCGAGTGGTTAGTGCCCCTGACTGCTAAGCCGAAGGTCGTGGGTTCGATTCCCACCCAGGACAAATATTGTGTGATGAGCATGATCATTTGTTCTGTGTCTGGGTGTAATTTATCCATAATATGTATGTATTTAAAAATATATAAGTATGATTATCAGCAGTCTGGTCACCATAGCACAGGCTCTGCCTAGTTTGGGATCAGACGGCCGTGTGTGAAATGTGTGAGGTATATTATTATTATTTTCTACTCTAATATAAACGTAGCTGGGACGGTACATATTGGACAGAATGTACCCTCTAGAAACTACATGTTCTAGTAGTAAACTGATCTAGTAGTGAACTGATTACGTCAGAAAATTGCAACTATAGTGTCGTTATAGCTAAGGCCCCTTGCTATCGCGGAGTTGCAACTTCGAACCCCACAAAGTGTGTATGTGACTATTACCGACCGTCCTGATAAACGTCAGAAAATTGCAGCGGTAGTGTCGTTATAGCTAAGGCCCCTTGCTATCGCGGAGTTGCAACTTCGAACCCCACAAAGTGTGTATGTGACTATTACCGACCGTCCTGATAAACGTCAGAAAATTGCAGCGGTAGTGTCGTTATAGCTAAGGCTCCTTGCTATCGAAGAGTTCCAACTTCGAACCCCACAAAGTGTGTATGTGACTATTACCGACCGTCCTGATAAACGTCAGAAAATTGCAACTATAGCTTATAGCTAAGGCCCCTTGCTATCGAGGAGTTTGCAACTTCGAACCCCATAAAGTGTGTATGTGACTATTACCGACCATCACTGATAAACGTCAGAAAATTGCAGCGGTAGTGTCGTTATAGCTAAGGCCCCTTGCTATCGAGGAGTTGCAACTTCGAACCCCACAAAGTGTGTATGTGACTATTACCGACCATCACTGATAAACGTCAGAAAATTGCAGCGGTAGTGTCGTTATAGCTAAGGCCCCTTGCTATCGAGGAGTTGCAACTTCGAACCCCACAAAGTGTGTATGTGACTATTACCGACCGTCCTGATAAACGTCAGAAAATTGCAGCGGTAGTGTCGTTATAGCTAAGGCCCCTTGCTATCGAGGAGTTGCAACTTCGAACCCCACAAAGTGTGTATGTGACTATTACCGACCGTCCTGATAAACGTCAGAAAATTGCAGCGGTAGTGTCGTTATAGCTAAGGCCCCTTGCTATCGAGGAGTTGCAACTTCGAACCCCACAAAGTGTGTATGTGACTATTACCGACCATCACTGATAAACGTCAGAAAATTGCAGCGGTAGTGTCGTTATAGCTAAGGCCCCTTGCTATCGAGGAGTTGCAACTTCGAACCCCACAAAGTGTGTATGTGACTATTACCGACCATCACTGATAAACGTCAGAAAATTGCAGCGGTAGTGTCGTTATAGCTAAGGCCCCTTGCTATCGAGGAGTTGCAACTTCGAACCCCACAAAGTGTGTATGTGACTATTACCGACCGTCCTGATAAACGTCAGAAAATTGCAGCGGTAGTGTCGTTATAGCTAAGGCCCCTTGCTATCGAGGAGTTGCAACTTCGAACCCCACAAAGTGTGTTTATTTAGCTTAGCAGGTTTACTGATAATAGTACTATAGATAAACCCCGCCGCCCGCACCTCTCCCGGTCCCCGTTCGTGCTACCTCCGCCCAAAGCGTCTATAGTTACCGATGTTACTAGTATCTAAATAAATCTAATTAGTTTATAAGAATCAGCTTGATCTTGACAGTAACTTACCTCCTTCACAATTCCTCCCTTGGTAGCCCGTGGGACAGGAGCACACTCCTGGTGCGGTGCAATTCCCCCCGTTCATACATTGTGGGTAGCACAGAGCAGTCCTGCAATCCTGGCCCATGTACCCTTCAGGACATTGACATATCTTCTCGTTATTGCACCACCCCTGGTTTGCACATTTTTTATCACACTCCGGGTCTGGACCTGATTATGTAACACAGGTAATTGATTATACACCGGACGGTATAGAGACCTATTATTAATTTTTCCTTAAATCCATGGAGTATGCGTCATACTTTCTTGTGTTTATGCTCAAATAATTAAAACAATTTTATGGTTTAAAAAATGATTTTATTTTCATGTAACGGTTAGCAGTTAGCTCAAGATAGTATTACGTGTAGGTACTCTATGGTGTATTAAGTAATAATGTGAGAAAGCCATTTTTTTTAATAAATTCATAGAACACCAAATTAATGAGGTTTTGAATAATCGGACAAACGCGAGTTTGACTTACAATTATGTAAATAGTTTTTTTTTTATAGAAGAGGGGCAGACGAGCAGGCAGGGCCTTAATTCTGCTATTTTACGTTAACGTCAAGCCACTGTTATTTCATTGACACGCTATTGAGATGCCATTGACATAGGTCAAAATATCAGTATTCTACTAACATAAATTCGTAAATAGACAGTCCATATAATAAAATAGGTCATCAATGGTGATATCAACAACATTACCATACCTATAAAATTGCATATATCATTTTCTTACAAATTTAAAATGTACCTTTTACCAAACTATTACAAAGACATCGATGACATTTGTATAATTGCGATTGGTCTTACATAGTAGAATACGACAAGTGCAAAGCTATTCCGACGACATTCCATCGGTAGTATATTGATACAATATTAGAATAGCAGAATTGAGGCCCGGGTCACCTGATGGAAAGTGATTACCGATTTAGTGATTATATTATTAAAATAAAAACTTTATTTTGCAATATTCTCTAACTTGCTTACTCAATTTTTCAAGCCCAAACCCTAGTTTATAATGGCCAAAACACTTTATTATGTGACACAACAATAAATTAACGATTTTCAGCTGTTTCCCTCTACTTGTGCTATAAATAGGTTTTAGAATTGATTTTCATGCGAAGTATTTAACAGTAATTTCTACTTGATACTAGCTGAAAAAAAAAGGTTACCAAATCGGCAGATGAAAAGACAACAAAGTAATTCTATAAGGTTCCCTTTTTTTTTATGAATGGATCCCCAAAAAGTAATATTTTGATACTTTTATACTAAGGTGTAAAGTTATTAAATAATAATACCAATTTATTTCTTATGTATGCGTAACAGTATAGAATCCGAATCAAACAGTTTTCATAAGATTGTGTTATCTTTAAATATTTTTATTATTTAATACGTAATCCTAATATTTCTAATGTAAGTACTTAATTTTTAGCTTAAAACCATTACAATTATACTTTTTTTTTAAATAACGAATAAAATGACTAGCGGTCACAAACTAAAGGTTCATTACACCCACCCAACACCCCACCGTGGTGCTGGGCTCGACTCGGTGTCCACGCGTTGTCGACGGGTGGTCCACGGGTGGACGCCGCGTTGTTAACCAGAAGCCCATGGGCGAGTTTATTTCACATCTACTCGATCGTCACGGTGACTGCTTCAAACATCCATGCTTCGGCACAAATGAGCCGGCTCGACCGGAGTGATATCATGAGCCGGAACCGGAGCCGGGGGGGGGGGGGGGGGGGGTGACTCTTAAGTTGCTGGTATCCGTCTGCTCGTTCACCTCCTTATAAAAGAGATTTTAGTACTTAAACATAACACGCCTATGTTAAAGCTAAATCAAATCTTACCTGCTGATATGAATAATACCTACAGCGGTGATATCAAACTATACCTATTCTATAGCTTCACTCGATAAGTACATATTAGTGGGTAAATAAGCAAGCAAGGTACGATACAAACCTAAAAACGCAAATGCTGTGAGCAGAGGCACCGTGATTCAGCCAACCAGCGTACTCGATGTAAACCCGGAAAATAACGCATTCGGTTAATAAGGCCTGGCGCACATCGCAGGCTTGCACACTAATATCAATGAAAGGCAGAATATAATAATTAGTAATGAGTAGAAGCAATGCAGGGATGGACAATTTAATGGCTGTTACAAGCATCTGTAGTAGGTACTTTATAACGCATGGTCCGGGCCTTCCCCGGAGTAGGGCGCCTGTGCCCGGCCGTCGGGGTGGTTTTTAGTGGAAACACCACATACTCCTAGCTCCTATATCCCCAAGGAGTCGCAGATGTACTTTATAACTAGCTGGCCCTCTATCATTGATAATAGCATCCTTCGGTAAACAGTCTATCCAACACTAAAAGAATTTTTCAATTTGAACCAGTACTTCCTGATATTAACTCTTCAATAACTATTAATACCTTAATAACTGTATGCTTTTTGAGAAAACATAATAAATGAAGCTAATTTTATGTGGCAATAATTTCTGTTAACGCGCGGGAATTAATGCGTTTAGTTGTCACCCGTTCGAAACGTCGTCAGCCAATTCAAAAGCCCTACCAAGCTCGTTATTTCCGTTGGTTAGTAATATTTAAATACCATGGAACGCGAAACTTCAAAAGTTAAATTATTTATCGATGTCAAATCATTACAAGTTTTTTTGTAATGGGGTGAGGAGATAATGTATTTAGCCTTACAGAGCCTTAGAAATAGTCTTATTTCAGGGTGCAAGAAGAGTGACATCGGATAACGGCGCACATGCTTAGACACAACTAAGAAAACATATTACAATATTATTTATGTGTGTAACAGAAAAAGTACCTACTCTTAGTAAATTTATCGATTGTGCTACAATAAAACATATAATTCATTGTAAAATATAAAACAAAACAAGTAATAAAATGTCAACCGCTGCATTGTTCTTATGGAGCGCGTGAACACAAACACTGTGACGTACAAGTTACGGTGTGAAACAGTAATGGGCAGTGGCAAAGCGTTCGCTCATACCAACTAAACTACCCATAAATGTATTATTAGTAGCGTAAGCATAACAATATGAGCTCGAAATAGATGAAATGCAATGTTTAATGCTTCTGTTCTGATTCTCGTTCTCAAGTTCGCTATGCTTTTCTCATTTCTTGTTGTAAGCATGAGAAATAAATTAATAAGCTTTGTGGGACTTAATATTAGGACTTTGCAGTGTTTGTCTATAGCATTAATCTGTTATTTTAAATTAAATAGGTTGGAAGCGTTACGCCTGCGTTTTTGGAGTTGTTTTAAATGCATTTGTTTAGTTAAGCTGATAGCCTTTTAATTTAAATAGTAGGAATGGTAGAAAACGAATTTATTTACAATGCATGGTAGACAATTCTGCTAGTTAAAGTTAATGAATTACAACAACAAAAACACAGGCGTGTAAGTGTTAAAAATGCGTTGGCGATACAATACCTGTCCTTTCTAAATACACACCTCTCTGTGCGCATTCCTTCTTTAGGTGTAGCCTTAGTGGTGTGCCTTTTAGTGGGAGACCTTTGCCATTTTTTAGCACAAGCCCTATTTCGAATGTGGCTACACCGCTGTTGTTACCAACACATGGCAATATTATACTGAATTCTGTGAACAAACTTATTATTTATTGTATGTACTGAATATTTGTAAATAAAATTGTTTATGTTCCCGCTAAAGATATTGTGTTTCGATAGGTCGAAGGCACACTTCTAGGTCAAAAGCTATTTCAAATTAGTAAAAGAATCATTAAACAAATCTACTAAACATGTACACACGTAATATCGTAGGTATGGAACCTACGATATTACGTGTGACTATAATTTATTTTATAGATAGGTATAGAACATATGTTTCAGAATAAAAGTTGTACATACATATAAATATAAACAACTTTTATCACCAGTATACATACCTTTAGATGTTTTAGGCACCCGTCCTCGAGTTTTGATAGATAATACTGGCGGCTTCAATATATTCAAATCTGACGAAGTCAAAATGTCAAAGTCGTAATAATATCTCTTTTTTGACTTCCATGTGAAGTTAACGTATCCGACTTCCGAAGGTATGACTGGTAGTTTATTTGAGAAGTTTGGGTCCAAAACGTATGGAGATACGTGACCATTAATTATAGCAAATACTTGCATTGATATACCTGGAAAAAAAGATTTTAGTTCAGGAGTATGAAAATAGTACAAATAATGTCGTGGATTAATTCGATTAGAAGAACGGCGCCTATTCATGTCACCAGCGCCTATTAATTTATTCTTAGAAACAAATACATATTTTCAAAACAACACAACCTACGTTTTAGAGGAGGATGATTGTTAAAATGAAGTGTAAATAGTATCTTTTTATTTTGTATATATGTGGTATTTTTATATATTTCTATGGAGTTAATTATATTCATTATAGGTGTACCCTGCTACCCTTAGGGCACATTGTGGTTGTATTGAGGAGCAAAAGTGACGCGAAAGTTAGATAAATACAATCATTGAAACGTGTTGTAAGAGTATATCGTGTCAGAGCTCAATTGGTGTAGAACTTTTTGAGTTTTTAAAGCGTACAGAAACCAACTCAACATTTTTATACCATCATCTCCTTAGAAGAGAGGTTTTGGCCTATTATACCACGCTGGCCAGACGGGTTGGTTTAGAATTTGTTTAAATTTTCCTTCTCTTTGCAGTGCTGTGCTCCTGCGTGGTTAGCTCCCTTAGTCGGCTCTTACGACATCTTCGGGATGAATAGGGGTGGTGGCACTTCGTATGCTTAATCCGCCTTTTTATATATAAATAGATATTAGATGATTATACCAAATTACAGCTATTAGTTTTTGTATCAGTTAACTACGTAATGGTCTTTTAGAACCATGTTATAATAGTATTTAATCAAAATGTTACATAGCTGTTTTAATAACAACAATATTTTAGGTTTTTAAACATCTTTAGTTACAACCTAACATAGGTAATGTGTAAGTATGTAGGTTGTTCTTAGCTTGTTGAATGACTGAACTCAGTCGATGAATGAGGAGCGAACATAATTGGTTGGTAAACTAACTGTTTTAATGTATCGCTATTTGTATTCATATTCAATGAGTAAATGGAGACTTCCACTTGTGCACTCTGAAAGGTATAATTTGGACCATTGAAAGTTAATACTTAAAGAAGTTCAACTAAAATTAGTGAAGATCAAAAAAAGAAACAAATAAAGAGGCGCTTGAGAACAAGCAGTGAAAATAAAATGGTAGTGAGCATTTGGCAAGATACAAAGAAGACAAGTTGTCCTAAATAGGTACATGGCAAGAGAAGTAAAGGAAGTTGACACAAACGATGGTCTGATGATGCGTGCATCAGGGGCACTAAATGGTTCGAGGCCGGTAAAGTTAAGAACAAGTATGATGAAAAGTGGAGGAGATTCCATGGGAATCTTCTCCACCTTTTAGACAAGAGGGCTAAATGAAAAAAATAACAACTAGTATTAAGCAATACTATAGATAACAACAGACGAACACAACAACAAAGATATGGAATTATAACCTTTTTTGTTTATTTATTTATGTGTAATAACCTTAAATATAATATAATTAGTTACGGTAGGTACGTCAAGTAACATGTGTCTCATAAATCCGTTGACCTGTCTTTACGGAAAACCTTAAATCCTTACGGATGGTCTATAGAGTGACAACAATGATAGTTCAAGTTACGCTGGCGAAATAAAACGAAACAATAATTAATATAATAGAAATTCGACGACCAATCGATCTCTAGTATTTATAAGACACGATACGTTTTTGTTTACTTTTTTCAATTGAATTGTATCAACCGTAGTCATGTATGTCCACCTACATGACCGTTTAAATGTATCATCCCTTAAAATTACCTCGAATAAGTCAAAATTGTCTATGGTTGTTTTTAAAATGTCAACTGTTGTCGATGTACCTCTTGTACGTATTACTGCATATAACCGGTATCTTTTACCGCTATATTTAATTGACTCCAGGTGTTTCCCTTGTAGAGTACTTAACTGTAAGGTTAGTATGCACGAAAGGAATTATCTCCGTTATCGAAACTTACCACTAAACATTCGCACTTGTCGTTCATCAATCCATAAAGAAAGGTCAGAATGATGACGACCCTCGGGGTCTTTGAAGTCGCGGCGACCGGCACCCAGTGCCAGCGACAATGCCAGTGCCAGTCCTGCACACAGACGAGCGCCCATCGAAGCCGATCGCCACATTCTGTGGAATGTATAACATGAATCTCCGTTAATTATCTTCTGAATATAAAAAAAGACCCTATACATTATAGTCTTAGTGCTGCTAATTCGTTGGACACAGAAAATCAGAGGATTTAAATTAATGCCTCTTCCGTAACATTTCCTCAGAAGAAGAGAAAAAAGCTTGCCGCTAGAATCGCATACCTAGCTAGATGTAAATTAAAATTGATTTTGAATATTTTCTGACTAAATGACTAAATTTTAATCAAAATTAATTTAAGAACATTATAAAGTACATAAAAAGCAACAGAGCTAAGGAGTACTCAGGCATTCATGTATATTTTACAACCCGATTCAGTCGTAAAGTGCACCGTTGTTCGGGTCCGGTTCCACATTCGATACAACCTTTCCAAAGACTCCAATTAATAGACAAACCGAGTATCATCCAAAAATATGTCATAATTCCATTTAATCGTCCCAACGCATAACAAGCGGTTAAGTGGCGTATAATTTGTTTGTCGACTACACAAAATCTCCCCGAGTCTCGAGAAAAAAAAAACAAAAACAAAATTATCACAGTTAACATAATTGATTGAGACCGTTTGGGACGTGCTCCTACAATGGTATTATCGTGAGAATCGGTCGACGAAAGTAGAAAAAAAAACTTACAACTTCATTAAATATCCCCTGTCAAAAAGTAATGTCTACTAGGTTTTTTCACTCGCTCCCGGTGTCAAATTATACGTACAAAAGGTGTTAACAAAAAAGAACTCTTGGATGGATCTAGTGTAGGGGTGACCAACAATTTTGTCTACGTTTGTGTTATACGTTACTTTTAACCGACTTTAAATTCGTTGAGTTCGTTTATTTTGTATGTATGTTCGTATATGTATATTTTAGACGGTTTTTAATATTAATTTTTTAATTATAGTTGGCTCCATTAAGAAAAAAATCGCCAAAAGTTGGCCAAGTCTTGCACATAGTTTATTCTTCAAATTAAGTTTAATGTTTTTTCAAAGATTGATTCAGTAAACCAGATTTAGAGGGTTACGAGAAAGCGCGTCATTATCAAATACTACTAAGTACATAATAGTAGCCTTATGAAAGCTCAACGACAATCGTAAAAAAGGTTATTATGACTTTTTTAACTGATATCTAGTGAGATAAGCATGGAATATTGGCGCCAAAAAAAATGAGAGACATAAAAAATTACCTACGTATTCCAAAATCAAAGATTATGTACCACTTTTTTTATAACAGACTAACTTTTTTTTTTGCGGGTAACTTTAGAGGCTAGAATCTAGATCCACATTATATACTTAAAACAAAAAAAACTTTTATTCTAGGAGAAATCTCGCACGTGTTTACCTAAATAGAGCACGGGCCATGTTTATCAAATCTCTTATAATGTTTATTATTGAACATATTAAAATATAATAATAATGTTAATAGACCGAAGGATCCATAAAACATCGTGTTGTAATTTATTTGCGCGATAACCCCAAATTAGTTCATTTGTAACTATTATAATATGAATTAAAATAATAAATAATTGGTCTTAATTGATATCATACTAAACTTTGGACGGTGATGCATCTGTTCGGTTATGTAACGGAATGAATGAACTTTTTAAAGCAATAGAATAGAGGAATTGGAACCAGAAATCATTAAGTAGGTATCATACAAATCTCTAACTGAATATTGTCAACCGTGAAGCGTACAACATCTTGACTACTTAGGACTTGGTTCGTTGGCGTAAACTATGTCAACAATCCTACGGTTTAACAACTTACTTAATATTTTCTTACAATCGGTCGTCAAATGAGTTATGACTTTCGCAATATAACAGCTTGGCAAATATTTTCCAATATTTATGTCGTCATTCATGTCCTCGCATACAGTGTGAGCAGTTACTGTACTGAATATTTGACCCTCTGTCTTTCTTTTATTCGTCTTCCCTCACCGAGGCTGTTCCCAAACTAGGTTGGGTCGGCTTTAAGTACACTACAATACGGCTGAAAAGCGTTTTTTTACGCCATCTGTTTTTCATTTAGCTTTAAAAATTCATTTGTCTTTCGAAAATACTGGTAAGTGTACTTGTACGTTTGTGTTAACTAAATAAATAATTAAAGCCTTAACCAGTATATTTTGAACATAGACTAATATTATTATATTTTTTGAAAGGTTTATTCGAGACCACGATAGCCGTTATCGTATAAAATATAGGAATAACTAGCTGGTGCCCTCGACTTCGTTCGCGTGGAATTTGAAAATAGCCTAAGTCACTCCTTATATAGACAGCAAATTGGTAGTAAAATATCAGTAAAATCGGTCCCGCCGTTTTGAAGATTCGACAAACAGACAGACAGACAGACAAAAAATATTTAAACTGGTTTTTAGGCATAGGTATCGCGCAAATAACCGTGTAAGTGTGAAAAAAAAAACATTATTTTGACATTACAAACAGACACTTCAATTTTATTTATTTGTAGTATAGATGTGGAAGGAGTGTATGGGCGGACTATTTAATCGCTGTAGATGTGTAAAAAATTTACAAAATGTATAAATTTATTGCGATCATTTCATCAATATTTTAATATTTTTAGAAAAGTTTATAATAGATAATAGTAATCATTTGAGTGATACACGATCCGAAAAAACAAAATCCAAAGACAAATGTAAATTGAAAAAATAAAAAAAACGTACCTACGTAGTAAATTACCATTCACATATGGAAAGTAATTTCAGTCTTTTGTACATATGTCTGCGGATTTTTTAGAGGATGGCTTTGGAAACTAAAAGCAGAGTTTCGCTATAATTTTTATTTAGAATGAGTATGGTAAGCAGAAATGCTATCAGAGCGAAATAGTGGGTATTCCCGAAATGCTCGGTGTGATTACAGCAGTATGTCTTATACGTATGTTTACCAACTTGTGGTGATGGGTTCGTATAGGAAACTAGGTAACGTATTAGCATAGTTACTCATATTATGTTTATTTTTCATATTATGTTTACTTATGAAAAAACCCAGGTTCGCCCAAACACTTTAACAAATATATTTGTGGTCAGACATTATTTCATACCTACAAATAAATTAAATGGTTTTTCCGGCATAAGCTAGTTCAAGTTATAGGTTTGCGATCATGGAGATACTATCCCTTTATTAACCTTTCCCATTTTTCCCAATTTAGTCAGTAGGCTTGTTCCCTGTTAGGCATGTGAGGCTGATTTAGATGAATTTGGGCAATCTACAACGCAGGACACAAGCACTGCAAAAAGAAGGCAAACTTTACACAAACCCTAAACCAACCCGTCTGGCCAGCGTGGTATAGTATGCCAAAACCTCCTTTGTAAGGAGAGGCCTATGTCCAGCAGTGGACTATTAAAGGCTGTGATGACGTGATGTTGATATTCTATTTCCCTCTGCCTACGTCTGTCGGGATATAAATTTAATATGTGTGTGTAAAATTTACACTATATATAAGCTATATATTTATTTTCACTGTAAATAAATATATAGCAGAATTAGAAAGATGACGTGATTGGCAACTGAGGTTACTCAGTCAAGGTCACTGGATATGAATAGCTGTCTGTTCCGTTTGAGATCAGTTCTACAGTCATACTTTTAACGCAGAGGTGAATTATCATTCAGTAGGTGAGTACAGTGGTACAATATTGACCAGTGGCGGGGCATTTCAAGATCAACGACCACGACGACCCCGTTGCCTTTTATGAATGGAAGGATGAAATCATTTATATATATAAAATGTAGGAATGTGACTTGATGTTATAAAAATAAAAATACATGTAACTTGTTGTAAAATCCTCAAGACTAATTGGGATAGGTAATTTTTTTTTTAATAATATCTCACACATCCCACACACGGCCGTCTGATTCCAAACTAGACAGAGTCTGTACTATGGTAACCAGAATGCTGATAAACATACTTATATATTTTTAAATACATAAATATTATAGATAAATCACCCCTTTTTTTCCGTTCGGTAAGCCCCTCGGATACCATGCATGTCGATACGAGACGACCCCCCCCCCGTGTGGGAACCCCATGTTCCCTCTGCTCCCTGGAAGCGAGCGCGCTTCGCAACGCGCTCGCCGCCACCCCGGCCTGCTTCTGCTAGGGTGACAGATGGCCTCAACAGTCACCCCCAGGCCTGCGCTTATAGAGGACGGAGGTCGTTCTGCGACCTCCGGCGCCTGAGTCGCCTGCGGTACCTAGCCCGTTCTTGGACCGCCACGAGGTCTCGCCTCTGCTCAACCCCTAGACACAGAACAAATGATCGTGCTCATCACACAATATTTGACCTGGGTGGAAATCGAACCCACGACCTCCAGCTTAGCAGTCAGGGTCCCTAAACACTAGACCAACAGGCCCGCCGTTTTCTCATCAACTAATATTGGGGTAGGTAGATTAGGCTACACTAAGACTGACTGTCTGGTCCCGATGTCTTAATAACAGCAGTTCCCGGATCCCTCCTATTGCATGCGCAGAGTGGCACATTGTGTGGTTTTAGTCGGTCCAATCCCGACACACCACCCCGCCGCAAACCCCGGTAGGGTGACGGCCCGAGGGGGTTTCCATACGTAAAAAAAAGACTGACTGTCTGACTGACTGAATTTACTCATCTATTAATGTTTAATAACCAGTAGTTTTATTGTGATTTTTAGCTTAGATCTCTTTGGACTAGTGGTTAGTGACCCTGACTGCTAAGCGGGTTCGATTTCCATCTAGGACAAATATTGTGTGATGAGCACGATCATTTGTTCTGTGTCTGGATGTAATTTATCTATACTATGTATGTATTTACAAGTATACAATGTGTGTTATTTGTTTTGACGAATCTTTAAACCACATATCTGCACTTTATTTCTAGACGATTTGCAAAATATGAAGAAAAATATTCAGTGGTTTAGAAACAGGTGATTTTTTTGTTTTCGTAATTTGCAACATCATGTGTAAATGCAGTCATAATACATTGGCCTCAGGCGGTGATCAGCTGTATACGCGACGCGGTAATCACATGTTGCTGCTTTTACTACACTCGAATCGAACGAAATATGTTGATTATTGCGTCATCAGGATGAAGGATACGCGTTTTTAATAAGTTCATCTAGTAAGTACAGTCGGCTCTTAGCCACCGCGAATCGAATGAGTGCAATGCTATTCTGTGTCCTTGTAAATGCGCTCACGACAAATCATCGTAATATTAATATTGTTGTCGTTCGTGAGATATTTGTTTAGAAACGTTTTGTTGTGTTCATAATTGTTTAGTCTTATTGAGTTCGTCATAATACACGGCAATGGTGTGAACAATTAATGTTATCGTATGCACAAGTCTTCGTGTTGTAACGAGTCGCGCTAATTTTATTTTGAAAAGTGAGAATATTAGTTTGTGTGTGTAGTGTAGTGTGTGTGAAACTGAGTGCATTATCAGTCTTTTAATTTTATTGGGTTATCGGTATCGACATCCATAATGCCGCGAGTGACCTTCACAGCCGCGGAATATCCTAGCATGATGTTAATTTACCGGGAACTCTATGAAAACGCATCTTTAGCTTTACGGACAAACTGCGGTATGGAATCAATCGTGTATGTCCTACAGACAGCCGAATTTTTGTAAGGGCGGTACAAAGATTACGAGACAACCAAAGTAACTACTTTTTCAAGGAGGGACACTGCCGGGTCCGAAGCTATTCGAGCATTTCCGAAATAACACGTGAATGAAATCGTATTTTTAATTAATTGATTTTAAAAAGCAAGCGAAGTAAGTGATTAGGTAGTAGGTTATAAGAATGTAAAGTCGCTTTTATGTCGCCGTCATTCACCGTTCACCGACTCATGTTAACAATGATGTTCTTTTTTAGATATTATTTTATTGTATTTATTTTGTTCTAAATTTGCATTTCTGTATTTTAGTACTCTTTTTTTAATTTTAACCGACGTAAATTGAATCGTGTTATCTGTTATTTCATTTTTTGTGATTACTGTTAAGACACTCGTTATAAGTATGTTTATCAGCAGATTAGTTACCATAATACAGGCTCTGCCTGATTTGGGACCAGACTGCCGTGTTTGAGATGGGTAAGAAGTGAAGTTATTTTTATTTTGGCTTAGATCTGATAAACTATATTAGGACAGAATATAACGTTTGTTTTTATTTATTTATAAGAGTGTAGTGATCATAGATTATGACAGCTGGCTACTCGTTTAAAAAAAAAAGTCAGTTTCAGCGTACTCCATCGCAAAAAAAAGTTTGAAAGCTAATTTTATAAGTGCAATGTAGTTTCTATTTATTAATAGTTACATATTCAGCTCAATATATGTTCTTACTCTTAATATTCACATTTAAATACTAGAAAAACATAAAAATTTAAATATTTGTGTATACTTATATAATATTTTATTACATTTAGGTACCTATACAGGTTGAGTTGCGCTCTCGTGGCTCTTAATCTAATTTGAATACTTATAATTTATATAAATAGATATTTTGTATCGCTAAATGTATTATACATTTTTCAGTAGGTAGATAATTAATATCACTTTCGTTAAAAGCAACGGATGCATATTGTGATAACTTGTGCGAATGACCGTGTGACGATGAGCAAAATATCCAACTGCACACGCTTGAAAATCCGAAAAAAAAATACACAGAAACAAAAAACTTTTATAATTCGAACTAATTCGACGTCGAAGCTTGTCAAAGATTTTTTTTTTTTAACATAGATAACTCCAAACTCCAATTTAACGTAATTTAAATCCCTACTCATAAAGACCTATTTCTTAGCGTTCCATGGATTCACCGTGCGGGTGCCGGGTCCATCCCGTGATAGATGAGGGCAACACATGCCATTTTGACAGCGCCTGGGAATTGCGACCCAGGAGTAGGTTTAGGAAGTACTCCTTACGACGCGTCAGCGCTCACCTCCACTGTCTGCTGTGTTACTCGCTTTACCTTACCATATTTGATACGACCTTTTTTTTTGTTGACGGGGTGGAAAATTCCTAGGATCGCTAGGATTCGCTAGGATTATGTGGTGTTTCTACTAAAAACCACCCTGACCGCCGTACTCAGGCGTCATACTCCGAGGAGAACTCGCACCATGTTATTCCAGGTCCCCTCCGAATCGACGCCGTGCCTAGTAAAGCCCCATAGCGGGGAAGCTATGGGCTTCCCCCGCCTATCGCCCCATTCCTTATAATATGTTGCGGCCCGATCACATTCTTTAATTGAGATATATAATAAACTTTTTATTGGTAAGAAGTGTCAGCATTGCTCAACATGGTGGCACTATTACTGGTTTTGCAAATATGTACAAGCACTAGTACCTAGTTGATAAAAAAATTATGACAATAGTTTAACAAGTAAGACTTAATACCCACAATGAATTTTAAATAAAACCCTTATCGAAATTCTACAGATGAACAATAATAAAAAATAAATAAAAGCCATAATGCAACTGTAGCCGAAGGTACGGCACCTCTGTCCGCACTTGTTAAGCTAACCAGAGTTGATACGATACCCGTTCGGGAACAGGTAACTGTGTAAAAAGTAAAAAACGCTTGTCCGGCTGACGGGCCGCAGTCGCCTCCGGACCACTGCTGTCCGTAAGGAGCACTGTTCACACAGCGATTGTCGAGCGTCTGGATCTGATCGATTAAATCAATTAAATTTAACCTTTAAGGCTGTGCTATTGAACGATTCGAACTCCTCACTGGAAGTCATTAATATGTATTATATTTCTTTCAATTTTGAGATATTAATTGTTTAGTTAGGTACATCAAATACAGTCTCTCATTTTTTATATCTTATCTTGTGTAAAATGTGTGTTGAAATTTGGATCTTAACTGTTTAGAACTTTTAAGTTGCTAGGTATTCTGTTTTAGAACATTATACTTGCACAATGAGATACACGGCAACGAATAAAATGACGATAAAATACAATGCAAAAAATTGATTATAAATCGCATTCAGTAAGCGACGAGACGCAACATTTAAAACCTGTAGCTTATTTACGACATTTAATGACTTTAACGCTCTCACATTAAGCCGGTTTTTTAATTTTATCCTTCGTGTCTCACAAATCAGTTCCGACAAGTAGCGTGTTAATAGCTTGCCTTAAATAGGGCCGTACACTGTACTTTAACATATGATTCCGTAGTTAGGGCTCTATTAATAACACCCCGGCTTGTTTACTCGTAAACGATAGCAATGTTTACCCTTTAATGCTTTCTTTAATCTTCTGTATTTTCTAACGCTTAAAATCTGTTTGATTTTTTATGAAATCCAATTTTAATAAAGCTCTATGTAGAATTAATTAAGTAGACTGTTTAAATCAATATATTAATATTGATATAAACAGTCCCAACTATATTTGTACCAATGAAGCTAATTACTTAAGACGGTCCTCTCGAACTCCGAATCGATTAAACAATTAACTTTTAAGTGGGATCAACGATCTTTTATTTATTGTCCACTCGCATCCTCATTTCGCGACATCATTACACAGTGCTGGAACATTTTTGTCTTACCTACAATCGATACTGTATTCCTATTTAAATTCAATTACAACACGCGCACGGTCATAATTTTAAAACTCACTTCACAACTCGCGAACTCGGACGTCTCGTTTGACGACAAATAAAAAGCATTCGATAATGTCCCGCTCTCGCGACGGTCGAACACAGACTGCCTACATATTGTGCCCTTACTTAACACACAGTTGCGTTTTGCGTTTCAAAAGCTCCAATATAGACTATTTTCGACTTAAATCTTATCACATAAAGGCCCTGGGGTACACTTAGGACGCGGTGGATGCTACATCGCTGTAATTTATGATGGACATTTTGCATGTTTCCATTGATAGCAAATTATCCGGGAGACGTGGGATGCTTTTTAATCAGTTTAAATGCGATGTTGTGTACGGCCAAATTTAGCGCCGTTTGGTGATTGCTGCTGCTGAATTGCTGCTTTAAATCAAACCTGTCCGTGAGTGCATTTAGAAAGAGATTGATTGAAAATGCAATGTAGAAGTTTATGAAGAATGTTATGTTAAGAGTAAAAAAGGAGGTAAAGCAATAAGTGGTGCATGTAGGTAGAAATATATGAACTTGATACTATGAGTTTTAGAATGTCAGCGCTATTGATAAGTTTGTGTAAAATAATCATTGTGACTGTAACTGTTTTTTTTAAATACCCTAAAATAATAATAATACCCTAAAATAAGCTAAGGATTGGGCCGTGTTTAGAGTAGGTCCAAGAATTCCCTCGATTCAATATGTTCTGAGGGATTGACGATACTTTAAACGTAAATTTTCTAGTCCTTTTTAATGTCCCTCTAGGCCCCAGAAAGGGAATGAAAGTACCTTATTGGATATGGTCAAGCACCATGTCGTAACACTAAAGTCTATCTGCCATTATTTCGATTATTAGGGCAAACACTTGGTTTATTTTTTTATTAATATCGTAGGTATATCTAATGTATATTGAACCGTTACCTAATGTATATTACCGTAACATATGAGCTAAGATTAAGGGGCCATCTCTCTGTATTTGTTTAGTCCCGAAACCTTGTGTTTTGCAACCAAAAATCTTAGTATTTACGACTAGCTGACCCGCGCAACTTCGTCTGCGTCTCTCAATAGTAATAAATTTTCTCCGTTTTTGAAACATTCTTCATTGGTGCTCCGCTCCTATTGCTCTTAGCGTGATGATATATAGCCTATAGCCTTCCTCGATAAATGGGCTATCTAAAACTGAAAGAATTTTTCAAATCGGACCAGTAGTTAATGAGATTAGCGCGTTCAAACAAACAAACAAACAAACAAACAAACAAACTCTTCAGCTTTATAATATTAGTATAGATATTGAAACGTCCTTACGTTTGAAAATTTGGGGTGCTTAATAAAACAAATGAAGTAAAATTGTAGCTTAAGGAACCTTATAAGTTATTTCAAGTTTTTCATTTCATTTTAATACGAATAGGTAACAAAAATAGTTTTGTTTAGATCATTAACTTTTATCTTATTTGTATAATTCACTTAACATGTTGGGGCACGTTCTCTTTCCGGTTTTTATATTACCTGTTTTTATAATATTTTTAAATGGTATTAGTTAAGGCTATTAGCCAGCATAACATATTAATATGATGCATTTAGAAAAAAATACCAAGTATTCTGTTTTACATCTTCAAATATACACAAGGACGTATTTAGTTGGTATTTTGTAATTGTTTAATCTACATTTTATTAAAATCAGTAAACGTTCTGTTTCTAAACAAATCTCTTGAGATATTGTATATTGATTTGACTTATCTTTAACTTTATGTGGAAATAATCGGAATAAGAGTTTCATGGAACGAAACAGCCCAGAAATGAGAATATTTAAGGCAAATTTAAAAAGAATTGACATAACATCGTTTGATACCGTCAGCTAGTGATATAATTTAATTTACAATATATACGCATAAACATACTTAACGGGTTTACCCCTTAGGGAGTAGGTATTTGGTCAACTCTAATTTTAATTCCACTCACGTAATAGTTAGCAAGCAAGTTAAATAAACATACTTATATATTTCTAGATACATACATATTTTAGATAAATTACACCAAGACAGATGATGAAGCTCATCACACAATATCTGCCCTGAGTTGGAATCGAACCATCGAATTGTGCCTTAGCTGTCAGGCTCGCTAACCACTAAACCAACAGGCACGCCAACAGCAAGTATAACAATTTTTCTTTGGAAAATTCTGTAATCACCATTGTATCAATCAGAGTAGCTTGCCAAAAGTCTGGTTTAAATCATAAGAAGCGGTTTTTTTTTTCAAAAGACAACTCCCGCTCTATAGTCTGTTTTTTAATCTCGTAGACTAAATTGACACATGCAAATGTCAAATTTACAAATAATGTTGCCAGCTCTTTTGTGCAGTGTTGTACCTACGATACCGGTTTGTTGAATCGTAACTTTTTATTTATAATAGACGAATTTAATTTTGATTTAAAGTTTTATATTTAAAATTCACGTTCGTACACACGGCTGCACGACGTGCTACAAACTGCCAAGGAAATCTGACCACGCAACGCCATGCCAACCAACAACAACTTCAGTAATTTTCAAGAAGTACGTTACATAAAATTTTAAAACACCTTCGATTTAAGTTCATGACCAGAAAACGCCGCAGTGTATTAATTGACCGAGATGACATAACTTTATGGCGGCATCGTTATTTGCAAAAAATAAAACAGTATCGTAGGGCAAGTCGTTCTATATATTATCAAGATGAAACGTGGATTAATGAAGGTTGGTACTAACATTAGCATTTAATATTACTTGTTTCTCGAGACTGTCGTTTTTATTATATTAGTAGGTATTTATGTTTTTTTTATTATTTTGTTCACATACATACTAATTCATTTTAGGTCATACTGAGAATAAGCACTGGGTGGACACTAGTGTGAAATCTTCAAGTCAGGCTTTCTTAGAAGGGTTAACCACTGGGTTAAAAGGGCCTTCAGGCAAGGGGAGACGACTTTTAGTGTCCCCATGTTGGAAGCGAAGAGGGTTTCGTGGATGTTGGTCTATTAATATTCGAAGCGAAAAAGGGGCTAGATGATTACCACAAGGAGATGACTTCTGATATACTCGTATACGAAAACTGGTTAAAAAATATTTTTCCGAAATTAAAAGGAAACGCAGTACTTGTAATAGATAATGCTCCATATCACACTAGGAAACTGGAATCGTTACCTACTTCTAGTTGGCGAAAAGGGCAAATCCAAGATTGACTAAAATCAAAAAATATTTCATATGACGAGACAATGTTAAAGCCCGAATTAAATGAAATTGCCCGAAAGCACAAAAAAGCCCATGAAAGGTATGTCGTGGACGAGATGGCTGCTGAACGGGGTGTCACTATTTTCCGTCTGCCCCCTTACCACTGCGAGCTAAACCCGATTGAGTTGGTCTGGGCTCAAGTAAAGCATGTCTCTAAAAATAATCAAATGAATGAAGTACGAAGCCTTTTTGAAGAGGGGCTTCGTCAAGTGACCCCGCAGCGGTATAAAGACTGTGTAGTCCATGTAATTAAAATTGAAGATCAATTGTGTCATCTGGGCCATATAACCGACGACATTACTGTTAGGTTTATCATAGAAGTAGGTGGCGATTCTGATGATTCAGAATATTCCTCAGACATGGAGTCATTATCTGAATCAGATTAACGCGAATACCTGTAATTAAGTTATGTAATTAAAAATATATGTTTTACATTATTAATTTTGTATTATTACGTTTTAAATAAGTACCTACACATTATTTCAGGATAACTTATTGTAAAAAAACGATACTTGATTTTATTAACGCTAAGTTTCGGTTGTGCCACATCACTATTTAAGAATTGCAATAAACTGAAAACACTCGTAATGTCAGTTTAGTCTACGAGATTAAAAAACAGACTTTAGGAATATATACTGTGTCACGGGGAACTTTACAAACGTACATGAAACAGACAGAGATTTAGGCAGGAGGAATGCATAGAATTTCAGAAGGAAAGAATACCTACGAGTTGTGTGACACACTCACTACCTTTAACTTACAGAAGAGAATGATTTCCCCGTAGTAATTTGGTGGTGTCTTTTACCCAAATTGTAGTCTATGGAATGAAGCTGTCGCGGTATTCTGGAGGTGGTTGTAATAACCACTTTGATAACTAATGTGGCTGTTATCGAACCTTCTAAAATAGTATAGGTATCGTTTTCTTGTTCCAAATAATGATTATTATTATTTTTAATTTTCTTGGTAGGTATTTGTATTTCAAAACCAATAAAGTATGTTGCCATTCTAAATAGTCAAAATATATTAAATTGTCAAATATGCATAGTAGACCAAAACCTCCTTTCTAAGGAGAGGCCTAAGTTCAGCACTGGACTATTATACATAGGCCGTTGATGTCATGTGATGTGAAATATACATATTGCGGTCTAATCCCACGTCAGCAGCTGGAATAGCAGTAGGTACTACTAAAAAGGAAAATATTATTAATTTTATGAACACCAGCTTTATAATAGAGGAAACATAAATATTACATTTGGAAATCATCATCATCATCATCAGCCTATCGCAGTCCACTGCATGACATAGGCCTCTCCCATTGCACGCCACTAAGACCGATTTGGGCTTCTCGCATCCAGCTCCTGCCGTTAAATCGTCACTCCACCTGGCCTGTGGGCGTCCTACACTACGTTTGCCGAGACGCGGTCTCCACTCAAGAACTCGTTTTCCCCAACGGTTATCGGTTCTGAGGCTAATATGGCCAGCCCACTGCCACTTCAGCTTGCTGATCCGGTAGGCTATGTCGGTGACCTTGGTTCTCAGCCGGATCACAAAAAATTAAATAAAAAAAAACATATACATATTTAAAAAATCTTTCTTATCATTGTTTTCCCTATAAGTAGTTTTAATTCATTCCGCTACATTTTATTTTGCGGTGGTTTGTGTATGTTGATAGGGGCTGAGAGTGGACGGTGCAGTCAGGCTCCAACAAACATACCTTTACTAACGAGATCTGCAGTATACTGCTAAAAGGCCCCGTCAAAAGTACCCGTAACCGGCGAGCATGAGTCTGATGAAGCGCCAGCTGTATGATAGGATTGTGGCAAAAGACGTTCTATCGTCTTTGAATGAGGGCTGAGTGGATATATGTAGTTATGTATGCAGCATTTTATCCATTATCTAACAAAAGGATTGCATATCTGATCAGCAACGGGGTTGCGAGTTGCTCCGGTGTTGCAAGCTTCCGTAGGCTACAGTAGCTGCTATCAGATGTTGTATAGTTGTTTGTCACAAAATTTAATGTTCTTTCCTTTATTGATTAACGTTTTTTCTAATTTGCATTACTTAAATTTTTAAAATTTAAATGGTTAGCACAGATTTTTAAATACTAGGGAAAAATTCGTAAAGCGTAGGTATGTTCCAATATACAAATAAGTACCTAATGGTAGTAAGGTGATTTAACACTTTCTAGCTGAAGTGATACAACAAGTAAGCCATCACAAAGAATAAATGTTGCAGATGTCCGCATAAATTATGACACACGGGCGAACACTATAGTACAATTCTCATTTTTAGGGTTCCGTACCTCAAAAGGTAAAAAAGGAACCCTTATAAGATCACTTTCTTGTCCTTCTGTCCGTGTGTCACCACTGATTTTCTCAGGAACGGGTAGACCTAGCAAGTTGAAATTTATACCAGATACTGAAGTCTATGGACCCTATTAGGCGTATAAAAATCAAGGTCCTTAGTCAACACGATAAAAAGATATGGGCAAAATTCGATTTTCGCGAAAACGTAAAGTATCAAAATTTACCTTAATTTTCATTTTTTTTTATTTAGCAGAATTTTCTCTTAACTTGTGCTGTAAGACCTTGCTTTAAACCAAAATTGTCAATTCTAGGTCTTACAGCACAAATAAAGGAATAATTCCAAAAAATAAAAAAGTTGATAATTAAGATAAATTTTGGTACTCATTTGCGAAAATCTACGTAAACTCTGGGTAGGTACGGAACCCTCGGCGCACGAGTTCGACTCGTACCTGACCGGTTTTTTAACGTGTCCCTGACATGAAAAAAGTATTAGCTTACAAATAGGTTCCATTTCAAAAACCGCAATCGGTTTGGCCTCTATTGTTAATATTATTCTGAATGAACAGAGCACCTGTAATCGGGCTCTATTATTTACCTGCTATTGACGTATTGTTTAGTCTTGAATATAACATAACTATAATTCATGAGTGGAATGTTTCGTCTTAGTGTACGAGTAAATTATTAACTGCAATGTGCGTTTAGTTCTAGAAGTCAGAAAGGTCAATAAATACGAGTACCTACCTCATTTGTCATAATGAGACTAAATTTAATACGGTATCTATCTGCAAGTGTATTAAAGTTCGGATCTTGTTTTTTATAACAAAATATTTTCACATCAACAGCCTTGAATAGTCCACTTCTGGACATAGGCCTCTCCTTAGAAAGAAGGTTTTGGCCTACTGTACCACGCTGGCCAGACGGGTTGGTATAAGGTTTGTGTCAAGTTTGCCTTCTCTCTGCAGTGGTGTTGTCCTGCGAGGTTGCTCCCTTAGTCGGCTCTTACGACACCCACGGGATGAATAGGGGTGGTGACACTCTGTATTTTTAATCCGTCCGTTTTAATATTTAAAAAAAAGGAGCAACATATTGAACTATTTTGTTCATTTTAGTTATAAATTAGAAGAGTTATGTATGTATCGGTCAATTTCTAAATAAAACTTCTGCATTAAAACCAAGATTTTTCCTTATAGCGCTTTAGGCACTCATTCAAGGGTTCATTTACGTCATACGACCGTTAATTATAACCTCACCTTTTTTCAAATTAACAATTTGCTGATTAGGCCGTAACGATCCATACGTTAGCGTCCGAAAATTCTTGATGAATGTTATTACTGTATAGTTTTTGTGGATGGACGAGGTGTGAAGTTCCTATTTTACAAAGACCGACCCATTAGTCGGTGATGTTAGGAAGTGTATAGTTACTTATCAGCACAAGAATTTTCATTGCGCGATGCAGAATCCGTAGTTACTACGTAGTTTCACTAGATGGCGTTGATATATTTGTTATAAGTGGAACTCGCCGGTTTATTACACGTATGATGGCGTAATCGTTATTATTCTTTATAGTGGAGAGTTCCTTTAAAAGATTCCTTTTGTGTACTTGTTGTATTGCTAACGTCAAG